TCGGCGAGATCCTTTCGAATATCCTGAGTATTCACTGGTGTGAGTTATGTCAGTTAATCTAGGTTTGTTGTACAGCAGGAGCGAACCTCGGTAAGCCTCTGCGGGTTTGGCGAGCTCGTCTAAAAACTCTTCCATGCTTGGAAAATGTTTATGAATTGTCCGCTCAAGGAAGTGGAGTAGTGTGGTATTGTTGACGGATTTAGTGTCAACAAGCTGTGGTGAGATTAAGCCAGGTCGAGAGGACAAAAGAGAGGGATCTACCTTGTTAATGCTGCTCACTCTGAAACCAAAGGCACCTCCCTTAATCCCTGTGCCATTCATGTAGTTGCCAATCATGAGTATGAGCTGAAAAAATATTTGAGGCGAAAATAACACTTTGAGCTCAGGACCTACGTTCAGAACTTCCTTGAAATGCTTAGCATGCAGTAAAGCATCTCCTGCTTCGCCCACCTTCCTTGCGCCCTATGTAATGGTGATGAATAACTTAAAATGCCCAATGAATAACCACATACGTCATCCAGGAGCAGCCGCTGTTCCTCGAACTTGCATTTGTAAAGCATACTCTCTATGCGGGGACCAAGACGGTCAATCTGTATAAGTTTGACCATGAGCCGGTCGGAAGGGTGTAATCCAGCCAGTTCCTCAGGCTCAGCGTTACGGTATACATTGAGTTTGCCAATCTAGACATGACTTAACCACCAAAGCCCAAGTATTTAGTGGGTATCGCACCTGTTCTGGGGTGGGAAGGACGCCTTTGAGTTCGCTCAAGAAGTTTTCAGAGCACATCTCCTGATCGAATTGCTGTATGCGGCGTGCAATTTCCTCAGGTTCCATCCTCTTCACCCGTTGGATAAGTATCTCTGGAAGAATTTTAAGTGGTATGTCCAAAATTTTCTGGCGCTCAAAGAACTCACCAACTCGTTTCTTCGTCTGTGGGTCAAGGACACTCTTCAACTCGGCCTGCCTCTGTCGAGCTTTCCGGCGGGAGAGGAGGGATGTCAACTAAAATGACGAAATAGTAAAGAGAACACACCCATGAGATTGATCATCAACTGCTTGGCTTTGAAGTCCTCCTCCATTTCCATCCACACCCCGTCAGATTGTAATTTGGCAAGCATTTCTTTCTCTTTCTCAGGTTCTTCGTCTTTCCAAAGTGTCTTGCCGACTTGTTGTTGCGGAAGCTTGTCCCACTGCAATTGCTTCATCTTGGCACTAGGTGTAAATGGCATATCTTTGCGAGCAGAAAGTAGGACATTGAGATTTGCACTGAGGAACATGGATGCTCGAGCTGAACTTGATGCTGAACTTGGGATAGAATGAGCACCCTTCAGGAAAGAGGGTGGCGGCGGAGGTGGCGGCGGGGGCGGGGCACTAGAAAAAGTTGGAAGAGGAGGAAGATATCCAGGGGGTGGTGGCGGGGGCGGAGGTGGTGGTGGTGGTGGTGGCAGAGGAGGAGCTGGCGGGGTTGATTCATCATCGTCTTTCGGTGGTACTGGCGGCGGCGGCGGAGGGGGTGGGGGTGGAGGGGGAGGGGGAGGGGGAGGGGGAGGTGCTGCTGTAACGTCAGATTCCTCAGCGAGGGAGGCAAGCGGAGATGGCGTTGGACTACCCTCCGAAACAGGTAGTGTTCGACCCCGGGATTGCAGTTTTCTAGCAAGCTGTTCGGTGAAGGACACAGCAGTGGGTCCACGAGACGCTTCTGAAGAGCCGTCCGAACTAACAGAGGTGGGTTGGGTCTCATCGGTCAAAGTGGTGAATCCACTGCGTGTGGATTGACCGAATTCGCTCTCCGCATCATGTTCTTCGCGGAGTGATGATTCGTAATCACTGTAATCAAGCGCGTTGTCGTACCGAGGTGCGAGAAGATTGTTGGCGCGATGTGAACGGGATAGTGATGGTGTGTCATCGCCTAGTATCATACGGTTTGTACGCCTGGGTGAGCGATTAACACTCCGAGGACTAGCGACGGCACCATCTTCAGGCGATAACTGTACGACACCAATGAGCATTTACAAGCATTGCTAATGAAAAGATCATACAAATTTGGCATTCGCTACGAGTTGATGGTTAATTTGTGCCCGTTCGTCCGCCTCGTCAGCATCCATGAATTGCGACTCATGGCCGTTAGGGACTCCAGATATCCGGGTAGCCTTGGAATGTTGCGATCGGCCTCTTGAACCATTAGCACCCCGCTGGACATCAGACTTCCGAGGAGTGGCGTCGTCATCTGATTGGTCGTTTTCACCACTCCCCTGCCTGTTATCTTGAGATTTCTTGCCACGCCCCTCAAGGATGCTGATGGTTTTGGTTCGCTCGAGATGCTTGTTCAGGGTCTCTATTAGGGTCTTCCGGTCCATAGTTCCAGAACTAGAGTCAAGGATTTTCTCGTAACCCTTGCCAACCTCCCTTAGCATTCTGAACAGTTCCAAGATTTGAGCTTCCAGTTGAGCGATTTGTTCCTCATACCCGACTTTCTGCGTCTCAAGTTGTCCTTGGAGACGCTTCGTGGTTTCCCGGTGAGAGCCAAGCTTTTGTTCGAGGAGGGCGACCTGCGCCTTAAGGTGACCGACAAGACCGTCTGAACCTTGTGACATCTCCTCTTCAAGGGCCTCCTTCTCAAGCTTTAGACGCAGAGCCTGAGAACGAGCTTCGGCAGCCTCTTGAATGGCATCCTGATATCGTTCAGCATCATTTAGCTGGCCAATGATCCGTTGAACAGTGTGCCCAAGTCTCTTCTCCGCGGTGGCAAGTTTCCCGTCCATAACCACGTCCGTGACGAGTGAGTCCAACAACTGATAGAGGCGCATCATATCGGGACCTTCCTCTCGGATGAGTAGTAGATGCCGCATCATAGAGAGGAAGTAATCCTTGGCACCTGTGCTCTCCGTTTTGTGACGAAGGGCATTCCAAATGTCTTCAGCGCTATTGAGGTCGCGAAGTATTTTCTGGTCGTACCGCTCCCGCAGTCGTTGCTCGTCTTCTTCTAGTATGGCTTGCAGTTCTGCAAGCTGTGCTTCCATGGGCTCAGTACCGATCTCGTGACATAGAGCAATGATACGCTGAAGACCAGCAGAGTCCATTAACGAGCGATGGTGCAACCGTACGTCCAAGTCTTCTATGGCGTCTATGATATGAACAATCACGAAAAGATTGGTTGACTAGAGACAATTAATATCCTAGCCAGAGCGCAAGTAAAACATACTTACTGCATAATCTGCGAGGGAATTGTCATGTCCAGCGCCTTTGCGAACTTCCTCGCTAGCTCCGACCAGACTCCCCATCTTGCCCCTGCCCAGCAGCGCGCTCTCAAGAGACCTGAACCAATAGTCATAATATCCGTGTGTCTCGCCATTGGCACCACTAAGGGCTTCTAAAGCTGGAAATACTAATGAAAGAGAGTCTGTACCGTTGTAGATGATAGATAAGAGAACTTCGCAAATCACTTTGCGATTTGGCAGATGAGGTGAATTGAGAGAAGACGCGATTTGAGTGACGACACCATTCAATTTTATAGCGTCGCGCACTCTGGACTAAAGCACCGCGAGGATCTGAGCCCAATGAACAATGATGAGCAAATAAAAAAGAAACATACGGCGCTATTGAAGATAATCTTCAAACACTTGGCGATCTCACCCTCGAGGTGGGTGTCAGATGGGAGCCTATGAGAAGCTTTAGTAGATAGACTTGAGTTTCAAACAACGGTGCTACCTCTTGGCACCCTTACGACTTATGTGCATTAGCGCCTGCGCCAATACAGATGCGCCCTGCAGCTCAATGAAGCGTTCAAGCCAACTAAACAGACCAAGGTTATCAATAATTACAACGCAAAGACTAACCTCCCACCTCGTTTCATGACTCTTCAAAGATACCCAGACACTTGAGGCCTGTTTCGCAGTGATGGTGTTGTCAAGGAACTTCCTGATATACCAGTCTGGTGTTCCCTCGCCAAGAGAGCCTGCTGCACTTGAATCACCCTGCTTCCGAGCCTGTTCCTCTCGAGTCTTTTCTTCCTGCCATCGTAATTGTTCTGCACCATATACCAACTGCCATTTCTGTTCAATGGTGAGGGTGTGCACCGTAGGGAGGTCGCGAGTCGCTGATACGTGTTCAAAGAGAACTTCAATCTCCTCGTCTCTTTCTGGCCGAGGAAAGACGAATTCCTCCTGGTTCGAATGAGGTTTATGGAAGAAATGCGATAGATGACTGGAGTGAGTATCGGAACTCGAGAAGCGAGAGGTGCGCTCGGCTTCCGACGAAAAAGGCATAGAGGAGCCAGGTCGAAGAGAAGAGTGAGATGCGGCCGGTGAAGATGGGAGAGGAATTGAGCCAAAATCAGCACCATTTGGACTACGTCTGCCGGATGAACCAGATGCTTCACTTCTGCGAAGTTTATGGGTAGGAGTCTTGGGTCGCTTTCCGGTGGTGAACGAAGCCACAGATTCATTGTAAAGGGTGGAGGAGTCTGCTGCACTAACACTAGAATCCGGACGAGAAATGTTGGCCCGATCCCGTTCAAGTCTGCTGCGCTGGTAAGCAGTGAAGTGACTGTAATTCATCTCAGTCCCATTGTGGGTCAGAGTGGGGTTTGTGAGGGGAGCTGAAATAACCGGATTTGAAGGTGTACCCCGCAAACCTTGCGACACTGTTCCGACGGGCATTGGGACCAGAGAGGCAGGAGCAAGCTTGTCATAGGGAATAGAATGCTCGGAGAGATCACGACCTGTAACCGAGGACTGGCGGGGACGTCCTTTCTTCCTGCCAAAAACTATGTCCATTGTTAAGGACGTTTCCACTGGGCTGAGCCCGTCGACTCTGCAGAGACGAGTGAAAATCTGTCTAGAAATAAAAAATAATTAAGTAGATGAATGCGTCCGTGCTGTTGTTACTATGTACTTGCTACCACTATGCACTGAGCAGTACATTGCCAGCCACTTCCAAATAAAGGTCAACAACACTAAGTGAGATTCTGAATCAGACCAGGGCCCCTATCAAATGCATTCGCTGTTACTACTTATTCAATCGTCTTACTGACAATGAACAATTCACTTTTGCAGCGTTACAAAATTGGTTACTCGTCTTGCATTCTTTCCTTTACGCACAATCATTGACTTTGACGTCCATCTCACTGTTCTCATTATCACCACTCTTGCCAGTGAGAACGATCTGTCGGACAGTCGGACTGCTTTGAGTCATCCATGTCTGTGTCTGTCTCATTCAGCCTCGGTAAGCACCCGCCCATCAAACATGTGGAACACATATTTACAAACCTCAAGGTACCGTTATCATGATCTTCGTCTTCATGGTCATGGTCACCGTCCTCGGCATACTCTTGCTTGTCATCGTGCGTGTCCGTGGCCACAACGATCGTTACGCCTGCCGCTCGTTGTTCCGGAGAAAGGAGAGTTCGGACGACGACTTGACTGTCTCTATCTCCCCTTCTCGTCCAACGGTTGTTGGTCTTACCTCTACCAAGGGCTTTCCTGTGATGCATATGACTGTCACCCCACCCACCCCAGCGCAAGCTCCCCCACGGCCACACAAGAGTGATTCCTGCGAGAAGGATGAGGTTCACGAGTTGTCTCGCAACAGCTACAATGAAGGCATGGTGGCGTATGGGTATGCTATATAATAATCATCGCGCCTATCACAGGCGTCGTAGAATAAGCTCATACTTCCTCAGTTTGACTGTTTCAGATTACGGGTATTTGTATCAACGGACAAATTGTAGTATAACCTGATGCTATACCCAGAACATGATTATGGTGCGGTGAACGCCGTAGATGAAAACAAATGAAAAGACAACCGTCACGAAGACGGGAATATGCAAAAAATTGTTGGACTCCATGGGTCACGAGGTTATCAGCCTTCGCCACTTGTCCTCACTGCCGCTAACCCACAGTGCCCGTAAAGGACTAGGCTCATCCACTTTTGAAGCAAAAAGCTTTCCCCACTGGGACCAATCCCAACCGTCGCGCACCGCGCCAGAAGGGTGGCACACGCACTTTCACCCAGCCACTCATTGAACTATCCTTGTCGTTCGCACAACTCGGACCATCCATCCACACTCGCACACCACCCCATCACCGTCTCCACGACGTACGTCACGGAAGTCGCATCCAGTCCAGAAAAAGTCGTTGACCACTCAGCCGTCGCTCGAGGTCTGGAACACGCTCCTGGCAACTTCCCAACCACCTTCTTGTTCGTACGCCAATCGCAGTAAACCAAGACAACCACAGCTTCCATGAGTCCTTCACCCGTCATCAATATGATCCTTCTAGATCTACCTGTCTTGTGCGTAATCCCGTCATCCGGGAAAGGAACATGCACGCCACAAAGCCATCCCATCACCGCTGAAACTCGAGAATAAGTCTGTCGCCCCTCCCGAAGGAAGGATGATGCAGCGGAATGACAGTAGACTTGAGGTGTGAAAGCCGAACCCATGGTTAAAGACAAAAGAAGACAGGATTGAACCAGTTGAACCAGTGAATAGGGATCCCAAGTAACCCCATGGGGCGGGCCGAACATGGGTACGAGGAACAGACCGGCGAATTGAAGGATAGTTGAAAAAGCAAAAGCGCATTCGACAGATCATGTCTTCGCGATGATCCCGCCGACATACGTCAGCTTCGAGCGAATGGCCTTGAACATAATCTGAACCTTCAGAATGACAACGGTCAGTAGCATCGCAGATATGGTCACAGAACGCGTTGAAGTGTGGGATAAGCTAATCGTACGCGGCAACTCCGCAGCATGTCTCTGACACGTAGGGTAGGGGAGCCGAGGCTGCAGGGACGACAGCAAAGTTGCACCTATAACACACTAGCCGAAACAGTCTTTAGCATCCCTTTCCTGTACGTACCGTACTCGCGACCAAGTGCATTCCAGACCAGGTTCCATGTCGCAAATCACCGCGAAGCCAGGGTGTTTGCTGCGCATACCAGCGCTTTGAAGCTATGCAAATTTTCTCGTTCCAAAGGAAGTAGAGAAAACAACATTGTTCACGGCGAGCAAATCATAAGACGCCGGGGTGAGGAGCGGGTGATCCCAGTGAGACCACCCACAACTCGAGGAAAGAGTCAAAGACTCGGACTACGGCAATCATGTGCGTTGACCTGCTGAAGAATATGAACCACGAGAGGTGAGGGCAGAAGCGCAAGACAAGATAACTGGTCTTCCAAAAGCGGCCCTGGGCAAATTGATCTCTACAGAAATCTGTGCGTGACCCAGGATGCACGCCACTGGCAGTTAACCACAGAATGCGAACCGGTGCGTGATCTGCTCCTTCTCTTGAAGGTCACCAAATAAAATCCCGCGACACCTCTCTAGCACTCGCTCCGCAGTTCAACCTCTGCCCACAACGTGAACCGAAGCATTTCCGGCACCGCCTTCCCTTTAATCGCAGCCATGTCGAACGTACGAAAGTTATTAGTTTTCTGTGCGTGACGTCCAGACACGTCCACAAAGGGTTCCCGAGGCAGCACATGCAAAGGTCTGTGTGTATGCATGAGTGGAGGTGATTCCGTGATTGGTTACGAGCGCGTTCCGAAGAGGCGATGAAGGTGGTTTCAAAAGAGTTCATTGCAGAAGAAAACAGCAGCAAACGGGCAAACGCCCGAGGCGCGCATGAAAGACCACCGTCATAACGCGGCCCGACCCCAGAACAATGCCGCATTGTTTGTGATTCATGCAAGTAGAAGATATTCTCCCCGTAGTGAAAATCATTAGGGTTAGTATACATCCTGTTAGGATGATATTATGGCTGGAAGCAGCGATGAGCTCGATGGTGGCCTGGATAGCATGTTGGTGCGAGTGGTCTCCCGAAGTGGCCAGGGTGATTGGAAAGTGGACGGCAGACGTTAGACATAGTAGAGTTTGGTATAGAGAAGAGAAAGAGATGTCACCTGAATTTATTGACATCGTGTTGTTTGGTCGAATAACAACGCGTAAACTGCGTGACGTCACAATAGAATAATTCACCTTCGTCTCATTACATATGTCACACAATAACTCTAGCTACCATTACCCATAAAATTCCATCTATGCTACATGACAAGGCCTTTGAATGAAATATCCTTTCTACCCACGTCCCACTGTACTAAACCATCCTTCACCGGGCGTTCCAGGTTCTTCATCAACGTTGTAAACAGTCGTTTCTGGCAAGGTATGGGTCAACCACGCCGATGTACCGAATAGCTGGCGGCACAGCTCCAATAAATCCTCTATGGTATCAACCATATCCCTCATGACCTCACCTTCCGCAACTGAGTATGCCAAAGAGATGCCCTTAACCGACACATCCACGTCGATACCTCGTCGCAAGGAGACTTTTATTTGTGATTCGAGTTTTTCAAGTGCTTGTCTTGCAGATGGGAGGAACTGCGGTAGAGGTTGTCGAGCTTGAAAGACGTGCTGACTCGCAAACAGCAAGACGCAGATACAGGATATCTGACAAGAGCATCTGATGCAGTTCAGCAACCGAATTTGTCGGCACTCACAAATTCCTTCCGTTCTTTCAGGACTGACGCAATAGTCTCCTTGCGGGGTATATTTTCCCGTATCTTTCTAAGACCAGTCATCAAGTCAAGAATCTTCTGTATCTTGAGGACAACTTCGCGGTAGTGGCGCATTGGTTTCTGTGAACGAGTTAGTTGTGGAAATTGAACTAAGTATTCAAACCCACCGGCACTAGACTGAGCTCGTCATTCATAATAGTCAGCAGCGACGAAGATCGATGAAGCGCATTGCGAATTTGAAGTTCTGACTTCAATGTCTCTTGCTTGTCGTGCGGTGTGAATACGTATATATTCTGAAACATCCCCCTGGAATTGGTTTAGGAGGAGCACATCATAACCGAAGGGATAACGTACTGTACGAGGAGAAGATATAACTGGCTGAGCAATCTCAATGTCCTGCTGGTCTGTTTCAGAAACAACACCTTCTGAATATTAGCAAATGAGGTCGAGCATGGATAACATTGCCATACCCGGCTGTACCGAGGAAAGACAAGACTATTCATTGCCAACGCAGTGATGATGCCTAAAGCAATCATTGAAGCCCTCATCCAAGCTAAGTCTGCACAATCGTAAGACATATTCATGTCAGGTCCACAAGTGAAAATCGATACCTTGGGTAGACACTCCCGAATCCGGAGTTAAGTATTGGTATAGCACGATAGGAGGGAGCGTAACAGACCTGGATAACGATCAGTATCGTGCATAGCAGGTCAAATGGAGACATTACGCGACGACACCCAAGGACGGGATCCTGCTTTTCGTGACAAGCCACGTAACGGGTATATCAAACAACTGATAACATTGGTCAGAAGATGCAGGGTGCTGTTAATTTATCGGAACTACTTACTGTAATCATTACCACTATGCCAATAGAATTCTTGCCGCAGATAGCCCATGTCTATGTAAATGCGATCAGGGCGGGAAAGTGATGGTATCGTAGGACGCACGATATAAGCATAGATAGCTCCTAGAATGGTCCCTGACTATCAAATACATCAACACGCCGTCGCAGTTTTTGATCAAAAAGGATTTACGAGACGCAAATAACCGACGCGCCAGGTCGCTCCAGTATTTGTTTCGAGGACCCATACGTAGCTGATAATCATCCATTGGCCGTGGATCCACTTAAACCACTGAAAACCTAACATTGAATTTATGACGATTCACACTTGACTGGGGACGCGAAAATAAACAAACCTGCTGAGTTAGAAGGAAGAAAAGCCGGAAAACTTAGCATGGCCACCCCAATGGCATTTTTCGTCGCATGCTGCAAATGACTGGAATGTTGCATGTTGCGGATTACCCTTGATGCTCCTAGTCGAAGCTGAAGTATGAAGGAATGATTCCAAAGGCGTTGTGGTGTCGACAACAAGCATCGTGGAAAGGACTTTAATGATAACTGTTGGCCACTGGGAATTCTTTTGATGGCATGGGAATAGGAAACCTCTTGACTTGTCACCTCATCATGTCGATCGACAAAAGCAATGCCTTGTCGGACTTCCTCAGCTGATAGAGTTGTCTCTGCTTCGGAAGCATCATGGGCCATAGGTGCCCCATATTCCTCCATTATGAAAGTTCGGGGCGCAATGCCAAGCCACTGCCATGTCAATCGCGGGAGCCAGAAGCGAAGTCTAGAAGCTTCGTGGTGTGCGGAAATATTCTGAGCTACTTGCAGTATGTGGCTCGTGTCGTACGCCATCTAGCTTCGTTGGCGCATTCAGTTTATAATAATCCTCGGATAAGCTTACTTGCCTGTAGCAATGACGTCACAAACAGGCACTGATGATGGAGATGAGAAGGAATGATGGAGCCAGATGGGGAACCCGGTTCTTCGCCTAATGTCCGGATAGTGTTACGCAACTCGGTTTTTGCAGTGTACCATGTGAGATTGAGATTGATGGCAGCCGCAGTAACTGCATCTCTCTCTGTACGCAATGACTTGCGCCATAGGGAGGCATGCGTGTACACGCCGAGCACCAGATCTTCGACTGCTTTGATTGAGATCATAATGGTTTTGCCGAGCTCTATCGCTGAAGCCTCGAAGGAAGGAGATGATACACAGTACGATTCGTTGGACCAGTCGGTCTGACCTGGCCGAGGAACCATTCCCCAGGATAATTCACGGCGCAAGTGTTCAACCATGCCCAGCAGAGGCTTGAGGGACTTGACTAGTATGCTATGTTAATGTGTGGAAAATGAGCATGTGAACAGGATGCTCACCGCTAACGCGCCCAATACGGAGTTCAAAGGCTGCTTGATAGTACATCTCATTCAATATCACAGACCGGTGGACCAATTCTGCATGTAAATCTTTCAAGTCAGTGATTTGCTGGGAAGAAGGATACGTGAATGGATTATCCATGCACACGGCTAAGCATCGGTGGATAATTCTCAAAGTCGACGCGAGTTCTTCAGTAAGGTGAGTCGAGGACCAATGCAAGATCAACATGCTAGAAAACAAGCAAACAGACGCAGCGGTCACAGTGATCCATAAAAAAACTGCCCGAGTCCGAGAGGAAAGCCTGAGTGATCGTTACACTACGTGTAAAGAGAGGAGCGCAGCAACATACAGAGGTTACACCAACATTGTCGGTTAACAGCCATATGGACACAAAGCACGATATCCGCGCAGATAAATGGAGACGAGGAAGACGGCTTTTCGCCCAACCAGCTTTCAGAATAGCATGTTAGCTGTGTCTGTATGGCATGCGGCGGGAGACAAACCGAAAAAGCTGATTATCACAAGGAATACAGCTAGTATGAGACGCGATGTCACTGATCCCTCCTGTGGAATAGCTGCAAGGTATTTGGCAAAGGTCGACATGCCAATACCTGCTAGGGCACCTGCGATGTTTATAATAGTAATTTCAAGCTGCTGGGCCAGATCCTCTTGGACAGAGAACACGAGCTCTTTCAAGCTCAACACGAGGAAAGCCGACGATCCCCCCAGCTGGGAAAATGGATGGATAGTCACAAAAAGTATGCAGAGAAAAGTAGACATGACCCGGGCCAATGCACGACGGGAGATACGCTCGTTTACAAGCTCATACAGCATCGACCGTGTGTGAAGACAAACGAAAAGATGGGCTATACCTCATGATAAGATCTTATTAAAAGGCTCTACATGCCTTCAAGCCACAGCCAAACTTGTTTCGTGAGTAAACGAAGAATGACCGCGAGCCGGCAGGAGTCAGCCAAGAGTAGTACCCTGAGCCTCAGCTGGGAGCCTGAGCTCCACGCTTGAGTTGACCTTTTACATAAATATATTTGACACTGATCCGAGTCCGCGCCGAATCCGGGGTTTGAATTGGTTTACATAATTAGGGCTTTACGCACACCGTGACGGTTCACCTTACTACAGTTGGCTGGTTTCCAGTCAAGGGTCTACTTAATAGATATCGATTGTCTATGTAAGTAATTACGAAAAGTAACGTTCGCTACGAGGGTCAGCTGGCTGGGTAAGGTTCAACGTTCAGGCCTCAGGCCTTAGGTACTATATATATATACATATTACATATGTCCTGTCAGTGATACTATCCCCTACTTACGGTCTATTCGTCAGTGCCCATCATTTCGTGAGTCACATTTCGCTTACCGTTACATCGCGTGACCAACCATGTGATCACGTTTCCACGCCAAAAGGTAAATGATGACTGAGTACTGAGGAATATTAGACTGTAGGATAGCAACGTGTATAATTAATGGGGCCCTGAATTCCTGGACCTCCGGGTCTATGCGATTTCCTGGACCTCTGTAGGTCCAGGTCTATGTGAAAAATTGTTTCACGCCCGATCATGCTGGCCCGCCTTATACCATTTGGCATTCTCTCATTGCCACACCTCTTTTCCTATGTGTGCTTCATGATCTCTTCTCGTTTGTACCACTTGAATCAGGCAGACAGAATCATTTAATTCACCTCAGTATGCAACATGTGTTCGGCCTTAGTGGAGATGTCAGTGTTCGTGCATCCTCTGATCCCACAAGCACATGCAACGACGCTCGTGCGTTCTCTTCATTTGTTCATTTTCAATCTGTGCTCAAAGATGTTTGTAGCTAAAATTCTCATAGCTTCTGATGTCCCTCTCCAGGCTCAAGACAGTGAACAATTGATTAGCAGGTATGTACTGCGCCAGAATTTCGAGTTTTATGCAGTTTCACGCAGTCAGTTGTTGGAGGTAGATCATAAATCGATTCCTTTTGGTGACAACGAGTGTCTCCTACGATAGTATACTTCACCGTCTTCTCATACTTTTGAAGACTATTATCATGCCATCTTGCATCCAAGAGGTTGATCAAATAATAATAGATTGTATAATCTGTTGAATCAATTTTATGCTAAGGTCTCGCGGTGATTAAGATGCGTTGTCGCACTTTGGCATCAAAGCAACCCGAAAATGCACTGGCTAATTTGGAGGTCTCCGAGTCAGGGGCCTCAGGCAGGGCTTATAATTGAATTGCTTACCTACTTAATACTTATGGAGGCAATGTGAGGTGTAAGGGGCCTTTGCAGACAAAAGGGGCAAAAGCAAACATGGTAATACGTACATGTCATTCATGGCCGAGTACGTAGAAACTCATTGATCATCATATCGAGTTCATGGTACCTGGTATATAGTAGTACTTCGGCTCCCCAAAGCTCCCGAAAATAAGGTACGTGTAAGAACGTAATGACAAGACCTTGAAAACCTCGTCAGCTGCAAATTTCCCTCTGACTTACCCGACTAGCTAGTAATAGGATAGGAACAGCAGTGGTAAAAATCTCTTGACCACGTTGGCAACAGGACAACTTTATGACGCTCGCGAACGCGAACGACAACGACGAGCTCGAGGCGCCACCTAAATCTCAATTAACCCAAACTACAACTCGGGTTGTTTACCCACTGTCGCTTTGCTCGTCTAAAATACCCACCATCCTTATCTAACTCCCAAGCCAAGTTTCATTGCCCTCCACCGCACCAAACTCCACTCGCTGCCTTCGTCTTTCAGACTTCTCCAGTGATTGAACGCGCGCTTTTAGCGCCCATGGTCTCATACCCCTGTGTGGCCACCGCTATCCTTCTCCGCCAAAGCCCGCCTCCGCCCAACTCATACCACCGACAATCCCGGACATGCCGCCACGGAATTATTCAACATCGATGTTCAACCACATCTCCCAGGCCTGCAGGTATGGGATTGTACTACTCATATCTTATCATCGCCATCCTCTGCCGCACCCGCGAGCTCGCTTTCTAGATAAAAAAATTGGTACGTATTACCCTCGTAACTACTACAGGACAACCTTCTCGTACGACGTACTCGCGAATGGCAACTTGGATGGCAATGATGACTTCGACGTGTTATCTGTTTCGGGGTCCTTTGTTGAAGTTAAACTAGAACATAGAGACATGTCTCCTTATTTTTTTTGGAAATAAGATTTTCTTCTGTCTCCATCACGATAATGTTGTGTTGTGGTCAAATTTTCTTAAATCATCTTTCATCTTATGTGGTTACTAAGTAGAATAAGGATAAACAAACACACTGTCATTTCCTGGTGACTGGGCGAAAGCAGGCAGTGGTGGGAGGACCTCCGGAAGTCACACTGGCAGGAGGGGTGCCGGTGAGGTTTTGAGGCGTGCAAGAGGCAGCGCCAGGTTTCGTGCGGTCGCGATTAGGCCTGGCTCGTGGTGCAGGAGGACGCGGATTGAAGTATGTCGACCCCCTATCTTTACACAATGTGCGGTGTCGCCGGTTTCATGATACGCCAAACACTGGTACAATGGAAAGCGCACATTGCATCTTCGCCCTCTGCGTGGCCTTCGCGGCGATCCGTCTTGCAGCTTGCTCAACGTGCGTAACGCAGCTTTGCGACGACAGGGGAAACAAATTCTGCCAGAAATGACTTTGGTTGGGCTGTAGATCCTCTATTTTCTGACCATGGACTATGGCCGCAATATTTCGACCTGAACCTATATGCAATAATTTGTCTTATCCGGGTTCCCCATTGCGGGTAATTCCCTACGGTCGTCCTCGAAGATTTTGCAGGTGTGGTACGTGTATGGCATTCGTCTCATACTACGGATAGTATATGGGGACAATACAAACGAATCCAAACATACATATAATACAATGATCTGCTTCCTGATGAGTCCTGTTTCCTTACCACCGGCTCTATAACCCCTTAACGTTTTAACGCTTATGTCTCATTTGTTTTTACATAACCTTCATATGTCAACTTTTATTGTCTATTTTCACCTTCGTTACAGAGGAGGTGGATGCTTGAGTTGTACTGACGCTGGGGGTATCTCCCTAGTATGCCTATGACAGTACTTCGATAGTTCGAAAATTTAAGGAGGTACTGGTTTGTCAAATTTAATCTCTGTCTGCTTTAGGGTCCCGGGAATTTGCACCAGGCAAATTTGCCCAGCTAATTTACCCTGCAAATTTACCGTGAATGACAGTGTCAATTTCACACCCTCGAAAACATAGTGTCAATTTGGGTGAATTTGTTTCTACTGGATAACTTGAATATAGAGCAGCGCAGATCTACAAAAATATCAATCCTCTCGACTTTGTCTCGACTTGCTGCCTATTCAATTAAGGAAATCTTATGGAACCTATGCTGTTGTGTCCCCCGAAGATGCGATTATCAAGAGAGTTGGCACGAGTCTCCAGCGCATGTTAAAGCACGAATACGGTGATGTTTACGATGGGGTAAGGTCGAACCAAGTTGCTACATTGCAAAGGTGCAGATCCTTTCAACCGCAAGCCTCGCAAAAACGAGAATGTTCGGGATTGGTGGCTCGCTGTCCAGAAAGATGAAAACGCGCAGGTTCTTGGGGTGATAAAGTCATTTACGCGATTGGTTCAATTCACTAAAGTCTTGTTCTTGTGTCAGGCTCTCGCGATCAAGTTATATTCTGTGGTACCGGTGTCAATGGCTGACGAGAGGACTGTGACGACCATAACGTGGCTCAATAGTCCTACTCGGAGCCAACAAGACATCGCAACATTAAAAGAAACCATTCAAATTCGCCAGTGGCACCGCTGGAAACCTGATGTAAGTTGCCTTTGCTCGTTCGGACTATTGAAAGACTGATGTACATCTGATTCAGTCAGTGGCATCAAAGACGGCTCCTTCGGTCAAATGGCGCGATATGCATGGCCTGTGCAGCTTGAGCCAACCGCTTCCGCGAGTCATGGACCTCCATCCAAGCTGACGTCTGACACTGCAACTTCATCGACGACACCAATGGATGACGAGTGGGAGACATGGAAGTCTGTAGAGTAAATTACAGTCAATTAGGTGAAATTCACCTCAAATTAACGCTAATTAGCGTCAAAAAGCTGGAGCTTTCGGGGGCTCTGCCCCCAAACCCCCGTCAGTAAATTTGTGTGAATTTCGTGTCATTCACACCTGTAAATTTGGCCCTCTGCGAGGGCCATGCTAATTAGCCTGTCAACCAGACGCCATACCCTAATTCCCGGGACCCTAGTCTGCTTGATCATCCCCGTCTTAGTCATCTTGTGACTTTTTTTTCTTCTCCGTAGGCTCTTACTCCTCTTTTATCACCATGGCTAGCAGCTCAGCGCTCATCGACGTTGAATTCTTTATCTTTCGTTCCTCCCGCCTCGCCCGTAGTGTCCGATCAAGAGCTCCCTGACGACGGGAGCTCTGTAGTGTCATCGTGCGTTCTTCGCAAGTTTTTTGGGTTCTATGAGGTTTCTCGAGTGCGCTTACAAGCGCAGAGGCAATATCCTGCGGAGGTCTTCCTGCCAGTCGCTGCTCCCAGTCTGCGCCAGGTGATAGACAATTTTTCTTTCTTTATAAGAGAGCATTATTCTACGATAGCACGTGCTCATTCGTGTTATACCAACTTATCGTAAGGATCATATCCGTGATATGTTGCGTGTCCATGTTTGTGACGCAGATAGTGTATCTAATCTAGTCGTTTTTAAACTCTTGAAAGCTCCTCGGCATGATTTTTCCAACCAGATTGTCCCAGAACCCTTCTGTGATTCTTCTCGCGAGTCTGATGCTGCCGCTCATCGTGTTGCACGTGCAGGATTTTCTGACACGCAACGCTTGCAAGTTTTGGATCGAGATGCAAATCGTCATCGATAGAATGGTGCCTCGGAGGAGAAGGCTGCGAAGATGAAGGTGAAGAAAGCGTCCATGCACACATTGCTATAGCAGCGTAAGGACGACGCGGCTAAACCAGATGTTTATCTCATGTTATCAAGGATAGTGAAATTGAATCAAACAGTATTCCGTCCTGACTCAACGGTTGCAATATCGAGATAGAGGAAAAGAAAGGTCCTGGAATGTCCGGAGGGCCGTTGCGTTAGTATTATCAGTTGACCTTTCAATAAGTCACTGCCTATTTCCGGACATCATGGACCGTGGGACAAATTATTCAAATGAAGGTCCCTCTGCAGTCTCTAAGTGATCACAATTCGACCGTGTTGCACTCCAGCTCAGGCGCACGGTCAACGTAGCTCACGACCGTTAACTACGACGCCTTGGCAATGGCTGAAAACATTTACAGCAAGGGAACGAGAGTCTGGTTTGAAGACAAGGATCAGGCATGGATTTCTGCAGAGGTCGCAGCTGTTACCAAAGGCGCTGACGATTCGATAAAACTGGCGTTTGTCGATGAACGAGGCAAGGTACGCGTTATATTTCCTGCTGTTCAATTTACAGAATTCGCCGACATGAGTTGCAACGTGAATGACAGGAATTTGTCATTAATACCACTGGCAAGGATATCAAGGCCGGAAAGGAAGACTTGCCTCCTCTTCGAAATCCTCCCTTACTAGAAACGGCAGATGATTTGGCTACCCTATCGCATCTAAATGAGCCTTCAGGTATCTATTTTCTACGGTAACTGTCAGAATCAGTGCTGAGTGCTATTCAAGTCCTGCATACCATTCGTAATCGCTATGCCCAACATAGCATCTACACATATAGCGGAATCGTGCTTATTGCTGTCAATCCTTTTCAGCGGGTTACTCTATATGGACCCGAGATCATCCAAGCTTACAGTGGACGGAAAAGAGGAGATCTGGAGCCTCATTTGTTTGCCATTGCTGAGGATGCATATACCGCGATGGCGAAGGAGGGCATGGGCCAGACGATCATTGTGTCGGGTGAAAGGTAATCTCCATGCATCTGTAGTTTGCTTTTAATGCTGACATACTTACATCGTCGTTTAGTGGAGCCGGTAAAACTGAATCAGTGTGTGCAGTGCTTCTCCATGTTACTAGAGCTCTAAACTATTTTTAGGCTAAATTCATCATGCGATACCTGGCATCGGTAAATCCTCCTGGATCCCAAACAAAAACGAAGACGAAGTTTTCTCTCGACGAATCTAGTGAAATCGAGCGCCAGATACTCGCCACAAACCCGATTCTAGAATCATTTGGAAATGCCAAAACAACTCGTAACGACAATTCTTCGCGATTTGGTAAATACATCCAGGCGAGTAATTTGAGTTTAGGCCGCTGAATATCTAACATGCGCTGTAGATTCTTTTTGATGGCAAACAAGAAATTGTCGGCGCCCGAATCCGGACTTACCTGCTGGAACGATCACGCATTGTGTTCCAACCAACGACCGAACGGAATTACCATATCTTTTATCAACTGTGTACTGGCGCGCCGTCGAAAGAACGAAAAGACCTTGGCCTTGACACTGACGTGACTAAATTTCACTATCTGAAACAAGGAGGACCGACGTCGACACCGATAAGTGGAGTTGATGACGCAGAGGAGTTCCGAGCAACGCAACAGGCATTATCGACAGTTGGAATCAGTGTAGAGAAACAGTGGGCCGTCTTCCGACTTCTCTCGGCACTGCTCCATCTGGGCAACGTGAAGGTTACCCAAACACGAAACGATTCGGCCATAGATGATGCAGATCCTGCTCTTCTTCTTGCTACTCGCTTCTTGGGAGTGAACTTCGCCGATTTCAAGAAGTGGACTATCAAGAAGCAGATCATCACGCGTTCGGAAAAAATTGTCACCGCACTCAACGCCGCACAGGCGACAGTGGTTAGGGACAGTGTGGCGAAGTTTGTGTATGCATGCTTATTTGAATGGTTGGTGGCCATCGTCAATGAAAGTCTGGCTGGTGAAAACGGAGATGCCGCCGAACGAGCTGAGATGTTCATCGGTGTGCTGGACATCTACGGGTTTGAACATTTTCAGAAGGTGCATCCCATCCTTCAGTTAATTCATGATACTCAACTGTTTACAGAACTCCTTCGAGCAGTTCAGCATCAACTATGCCAATGAGAAATTACAACAAGAGGTGAGCATAAAGTATCTGCAACGTGTCCATAGCTTAAGACTGTCGTAGTTCAATTCTCACGTCTTCAAACTCGAGCAAGAGGAGTACGTTAAGGAAGAGATTAACTGGACTTTTATCGACTTTTCAGACAACCAACCTTGCATTGATGTGATCGAAGGGAAACTGGGCGTCCTCGCGCTCCTTGATGAAGAGTCGCGTTTACCGTCAGGCAGTGACGCATCTTTCCTTCAAAAGCTAAGCAGCCAGCTTCTGAAGCCTGCCAACAAAAACGTCTTCAAGAAACCTCGATTTGGAAATTCTGCGTTCACCATTGCCCACTATGCCCATGATGTCACGTACGAAGTCGAAGGATTCCTCGAGAAGAACCGCGATACAGTTCCTGATGAGCATATGCTTTTGCTAGCATCCACGAAGAACCCCTTCTTGAAGGAAGTTCTCGACGCTGCCCTCGGATCTGTGAAAGCAGCCGATCCTCCACACCCCGGGTCACCCTCTCTGTCTGATTCCGGCAGCGGAGGTTCCCGTCGTTCATCCATCATTCCTGATCCCGGTCGTTCATCATTGGTCGCAGCGAACACTGGCCCCAAGAGACCAGGAGCTGCCATCCGGAAGCCCACGCAAGGCTCTATCTTCAAGGCCTCCTTGATCACCCTGATGGATACCCTCAGCATCACAAACGTTCACTATATCCGGTGCATCAAACCCAACGAAGCCAAAAGACCTTGGGAGTTCACACCGTCTCAAGTTTTGGGCCAGTTGCGTGCTTGTGGTGTTCTCGAAACCATACGTATTTCTTGTGCTGGATACCCTTCACGTTGGACTTATGAAGAGTTTGCTGAGCGGTACGATCACCACTGCGGCCTTCCGCATTATTAATTATTGATCATTACACAGGTATTACATGCTGGTGCCCTCAGCGGATTGGCAGCCAATGATACAGCACATGGAACTCAGGCCTCTCTGCTCACTTATTCTTGAGAGAACTATCAACGACCCTGACAAATATCAGAGTGGTCTTACAAAGATTTTTTTCAGGGCTGGTATGCTCGCAGCGTTGGAGTCCCTCCGCTCAGAAAAGCTCAATGCTCTTGTCACGATTGTGCAGAAGAACATGCGCAGGCGCATGGCCGTAAAGAAATACCAGGAGTTGCGCCGAGCTACGATCAAAATCCAAACTTGGTGGCGTGGTATATTGGCCCGTAGACTCGTGGAGAACATTCGTAGAGATTTTGCCGCAAGACGCCTTCAAACTGGTGTTCGCCGTTTCATTCAGAGGTCCAATTTCTTGCAAACGAGACAATCTATCGTATTATTCCAGAGCCGTAGGTATTTTGTGAATTCGGACAACAACATATTAAATCTCTCGCCACAGGTATCCGCGGTGCCCAAGCCCGACGGCTGTATAGAGAGAAAAAGACTTCACACGCTGCTATTCTCTTGCAATCTCTTTCCCGTGGATTGTACGTCAGTAATAGTCAAGTGATGACATTTTACCAAAGTTTCCCCCTAGGCTCTATCGTCGCAGTCACAAGACGGACATCAAGCGTGTCGTTTATTTGCAATCTTGCGTCCGTCGGCGGCTCGCTCGGAAAGAATTGAAGGCTCTCAGGGCTGAGGCCCGTTCAGTCTCAAAGTTCAAAGAGATATCGTATCGGCTAGAAAACAAGGTAGTAGAACTCACTCAAACGCTTCAGACACGCACGGAGGAGAAGAAGGTACTGCAGGCGCAGCTTTGCGAATTGGAGAAACAGATTCAACAGTGGACATCGAAATACGAAGAGGCCGACACAAAAGCGAAGTCCTTTCAGACTGCACTATCAACAGCCGAGGCTGAACTATCACGCCGTGATGAGCTTCTTTTAGCAAAGGCTGATGTAGAGAAGCGATTGGACGAGGCTGTTGCTAAGGTCGCGGAGAAGGAAGCGATGATGCAAAAGCTTTCAGATGAGCTCGTCGCACAAGCAGAGAAGCTGCAATTCCAGGAGAAGGCCTTTGCTCATACCCCCTCACGTTCTGTCGAAGATGGGTCCGTTATACTGACTCTCAAGAATGAGGTTAGTAGCCTACGGGAGCAGCTAAACCGAGCCAATGCCTACAACGCCCTCACAAGGAATGCTCGAGTCGAAGCTCCTGTATCACCTACCTTTGCTCCGGCGTTGCGTATACCTGATTCTGGTGGTCTTTCCAACGGCGCAGCCCTTGTCCCGCCTTCGAGTAATCGTCACCAACGAAGACACAGTTCCGCAGGCGTTGTTCAACTCAGCCCGGCCGAAACCCGCACGTCCGTTGATGAACTCATGCTCGATGTCAAGAAGAATCAAGCTCTCAACCATCGCGCAGTATCCGTTGCATATAACGGCGAAGACAATGTCCTTCGCATGCGCAACAACGGCCTGGCAGATGTTCGCTCGTATGATGACCTTGCTGAGGAGAAGATCAAGCTTATGCAGGACACCAAGCGACTGGACGAGGATGTTCTTGTTGGTCTCATCAGGGGCCTGAAGATTCCAGCACCAAGTCTCACTAACCCGTCGGCTGTGAAGGAGATCCTTTTCCCGGCGAATCTCATTAGTCTTGTCACCAATGAAATGTGGAAATACGGGTTGATACCGGAGAGCGAGCGGTTTTTGGCAAACATTATGGAGTCCATTCAAGCCCATGTGATGGTGAGATCGCCGACTATCATCGAGTGTTTTCATTTGCTAACCATGTTGAACCTTGAAGTCGTTCAGCGGTGAAGATTCCATTATACCCGGAATTTACTGGCTGTCGAATGTTCACGAGATGTTGTCGTTCATCTATGTGGCTGAGAGCGACATGCTACAAGGTATTGGCCCTGGAGAAGAGAATGCTGTCCGAGAGTTTGACTGGAATGATTACGAACGGCTTGTCACGGTCGTCAAGCACGACCTTGGCAGCTTGGAGTATAACATATACCACACGTGGATGCTAGAGACGAAGAAGCGCCTTGCGAAGATGGTCGTACCTGCTTTGATAGAGAGCCAGTCTCTGCCAGGGTTTACGACGAGCGATGGCGGTGGTCGGTTATTCAATCGTCTCCTGAATACAAACAGCCAGCCAGCATATAGCATGGACGACATCCTAAACCTTCTGAACATAGTTTGGAAGAGTCTGAAAAGTTATTACATGGAAGATTCAGTGGTGCAACAAGTCATGGCTGAGCTTCTCAAGCTGGTCGGCGTCACGAGCTTTAATGACCTTTTAATGAGAAGAAACTTCTCCTCTTGGAAACGAGGTGTGTCTCCATCCATCACACAGCGTCGTTTCATTGACATCAAGTGATTTAAGCCATGCAAATTCAGTATAATATCACACGTATAGAAGAGTGGTGCAAGTCTCACGACATGCCCGAGGGGACGCTCCAGTTAGAACACTTGATGCAGGCCATAAAGCTCCTGCAACTGAAGAAGGTGCGTCTTACTGTTACATCAGGTCAAACGTTGATTGACACCCATTGAACAGGCAACGCCCGCAGATATAGAGATCATCTATGATGTTTGCTGGATGCTTAGTCCGATGCAAATACAGCGAATGTGTACGAACTACTACGTGGCAGAATATGAGGTATGACACACGCATTCTGCAATTATTTTCTTCGCTGACTCCTCCAGAACCCCATTTCTCCTGAGATTCTACGTGTAGTAGCTTCACGCGTTCAGGCAAATGATCGGAACGACCATTTACTTTTGTCTCCCGAATCGGAAGAAGTCGGTCCATTTGAGCCTCCCTGGCCTCGCGAGGTGTCTGGCTTGGAGACATACGTTCCAGCATACCTCAATGTGTCTCATCTACGCAGATTAGCTGCATTAGTAGCTTGATGTTTCGCCTGCGCTTGACCCCGACGTTCCTATAATATACCTTACACAGCCCATCGATATAGCTCTAGCTACTTCAGGACCTTGTTAAATCCGTTTATGTATGAGGCATCCCCGACTCCCAACGTTAGTGGAGCCCTTGTCGAACACGAACGGTTTCCAATCGACATTTGACCTGTCAGAGGCTTGTCAAGTTGTCTTTGTGTTTGTCATTCAGTTCTCGGTGAGCCCCTTTTTTCTGTTATGCATGCCTCGGTGGGCCAGTCCTGCATGGTGTCTCGAGCCTTCCGTTATGGGGTGTTCTAGAGTTTCGCTGTTGACCTGGTGCCCGGGTCTTGCCACGGCAATCGAAAGTAGAACAAGTTTCGAACCTACAACAAATCTCTGTCCTGTCACGCTTACCACTTGGCTAAGACTGGCCGAGATTATAATTTAAGGACATCATGCATTGACAGCAGAATCACACAGGATTCAGTCATTTGCCAACGCAACACGAGATAAAAAAAGACTAGGTTGTGTTTAATTCGATGGACACAAAACAAGCCAGGAATAAGCGAGTCAAAACTGGCGCCGGCGCCGTTACAATTCAATAGGCTTGTGGCAAATCCGGCGTGATCTTCAAATTGAGATGAAGACGAGTATCATGACATTTATCGATCAATCACTTCGAATATGAGGAAGAACCGACAATATGACAGTACAAGTGTCCTCCACTTGCTCAGACAACAACAGATCATTCTGGAGGGGTGAGCAACTTGAAGGATCTGAGACTGATTTCTCTATGAGGCATAGCGGCTAGCAGGACGATGAGGTTATCGAGATCGTATTCTTGGGCAAATTTCACTGACTGTTTGATACGAGGAGGGAACCCCAAGATTCGCCGAGATCAGGTCCAGTGCCCTGCCCGTGACGACAGACTACAAGCCAAAAATGAGATAATCCACATAGCCTATCAACAAGATGGATGTTACCTTCCTGAACCAAAGTACGCATTCTTGCATGGGCATCCCAGTCACCTCCAATCGAGCTTTGATGTGCAAGCGTTCATTGACAGGTACGGTGGATGGTTTGTCCCTAGGGTCTCCCGCAGTAGCACTGTGACGCATCTTCATGAGTGTAACTTTCTGTATCTGGGCTAATTTCTTCGGGTCCGTAGGAGGTTTGACTGTGCGTCGAACGGCCAGGGGAGTATGTGAAGGTGGGTTGGCAAAATGGCGTGCAAGGATATCTTGAGCGTCCTTCTTCCCATCGGACTCCTGCTTCTGCAGACCTGCACATGAATGCAAATCTGGATGACGATGACTAGCCGGTTGAGTTCATTGTATAAAACGATTCCGGAAGACATACTCGATACAAAATGACAGAAGGCATTTCGGGCATGCCGCAGATGAAGTTGGTTTCGTTTCTACATTAGCCTCTTGACTGATAGTAGCACTTTCAAGGCTCGGTTTCTCGCAATTCCCAAGAGCACATCTCTGGCGTTTTACGATGGGGGTACGTCCCTCGGAAAGCCCATCATGATCCAATGACGCACAAGTGTGTTTATCAGGCGAGATGTGGTACCTACAAAACACCTTGTTACAGTGACACTTGATTGGTAAGAAATCAACTTCATGGCAGGACGTTAGATCGCAACGCAGTCCGACTGCATCAGGTTCCATAGGATGAGCGGAAACGAGAAAATGGCCATATCCAGATTGAGTACTATAGATAAGAACCTAGTTCCCAAATTGGATACAGGCATGTAAGGTCATCTAAGCAATAAGTAACAATATTATTACGTAATTAAATGGATACGTAGTAGCTAACGCCAAGACCCATGCTCGAGAGTAGCAAGCGCGCAGCAATCCTGTAACTTCTTCACCACCGCCCGGACACAGACTGTTATGAACATCATAGTGCGCTCTCTATTTCAATTGTCACTTAACATCTACTAATGTTTTCAAAGGAAACTCTATTTGGAAGGACGGTCACGCCCGCCGAGCGATTGCGACAGCATCAGCGTGCATTGAACAAAGCACAACGAGAGCTTGACCGCGAACGGTCAAAGCTCGAGCAGAGCGAGAAGAAACTTGTAGCAGACATTAAGAGGAGTGCCAAAGCTGGCCAAATGGTACTTTACTTTCCTTCGTCGTGTATCAATTTCAATGTTTTCAGTAGAACGCATGTAAAGTGATGGCGAAGGACCTCGTTCGCACTCGGCGCTATGTCCAGAAGTTTTACCAAATGAGGACGCAACTACAAGCCGTTGGACTGAGGATACAGACTCTAAGAAGTAATCAACAAATGGCAGATGCCATGCGCGGAGCCACGAGGGTATGTTTAGCGATTCTTCACGTGTTCAACCCTGCGTCCTCATTGACACCTTTTCTAGGCCATGGCATCGATGAACAGGGGATTGAATCTCCCAGCTATCCAGAAGATCATGAATGAGTTTGAAAAGGAGAGCTCGATGATGGATATGAAGGAAGAAATGATGTCAGATGCTGTGGACGATGTCATGGAGGATGATGCTGAAGATGAAGAGGAAGAAGGTGATAAGATATTACGAGAGGTTCTTGACGAAATAGGTGTCAACCTTTCTCAGCAGGTAAGTGTGGTCCCATCCCTATCTCACATACATATATTCACCTACCTGCAGCTCACGGACGCACCTACTGGTCTCGGTTCAATATCGTCACCACTGACGGAACGCAGACCTGTGGCACTGGGAGAATCGATTGGCGGAAGTGGCTCTCCCAAAGGCGACGACACGGCAGGGGGTGGCCCATCGGATGAAGATAGCCTCCAAGCAAGACTAGATGCTTTAAGACGAGGGTGAACTTCAACTCATACATCCCGCCCTTCACTTTCACACATTCTCATTGACTGCCTGGCTATCTCATCACGGAATATATATCTATTTGCCCTACGTATAGTGTTGCCGCCGCAGAGGCGAATCGAATTGAGGTGGTAAACTGACACGGTTCGGACTAACGAGTTGAAACGAAGTGTCCCTCGTTCACCTCACGATTTGGAAACGAATTTGGGAGTGATGCGGACCGGTAGTCCAGTCCATGAGAAGCTAGGGATTTTGCATGCCGACAACAACGATTATTTGCAAGTTACTAGTACACGACCAGCAGACATACTAATTATAATCAGTGTCCCTTGCATTCTGGAGCAAGCTCGCGAAGATTCCCAGCAGGCATTAACTCGTCAGCTGCCCTGGGAGTCACATGCCCAGATATTGTGTAGTCCCGCTCGTCAGCCACCAGGTCCTCTGTAAAATTGAGGCGGTCTTGCTTGTAAATAAACTTCAGGACTTGTAGTGCTTCAAGTGTGATCGGAAATAAGTCGCTGCGCTCTAGAGTGCAGGTCTCTTTGCTGAATGAAAATATGCGCTCGGAAGGCACAGATGAAGCATGACCCAGAGTAGAAGCGGAAATCCGGATCCCCACGTTGTACGGGGCATCTAGAAATTCTGCAAAGGCGTGGTCTGCATCAATTGAGGGTTATGGAGTACACCAAATCGATTGTAAATCTCGAGCCGAATCGAGTTCACATCCAGTTTAACTCGCCTCGACAGCAACAATACAGGCTACATAAATTTATACTTTCAATGCCACGACATTTTTTGCATCCTGTAAACTGAAAGTCCAGGATATGCCTGAACCACTGTAGAACCCATCCACATCTTCTTCCTAAAGAGCGAGTTAGTGACTGGAATGACATTTGATTCATAAGTTTACTCACATTATCCAAGTTCAGTAACGAACTGATCTGCTGCAAGCGCACAAACTTTTCCCGGATGTCTCCAAAGATCGTTTGAGACGAGAGATATGTCATTATTGATCGAAGGTCACGGTCGAAACGGACGGCACCCAACTATACTAACGTTACCTTCAAGATGAGCACGGAGAAGCATAGCGCTTACCTCAGAGAAATGTAGCGTCAAAATATACTTCTCCCAGGGTCGGGCAACGACATCGAGTGCAAGCCCAAATAACATGCGGTAGTTATTATCCGTAAACGCATCCTGTGCAAATATCAATATATGCTCCAGACATTGTAGCGGAAAGTTGACCTTGTACCCATCGACCAATCCCTCCCACGTTTTAATAAACCGCTTCCGAACCACGTCGTGTTGTTCTGCGGCATTATAGGAGTCTTCGTCGAGTACATATGATACGTCTTTGAACACGTCTGGAATCAAGGTGCGTAATTTGGGTCTCATTAGCTGGTTGAAAAGCTGTTCTACGCCTGCCTAAAATCTAGTTCAGCGAAGTGATCCTCGGTGAGAATAAGCAAGTACATACTTTCAGCGCCGAACGGAACTTAGCTACAGATCCTGTTAAACTGGAAATTACTCTTTTCACGTGTGGCTGTTCTGCATCAAGGAATAGTTGTGTTATGGTTTGGTGACCAAGAAGGTCTTTCGTCAATCGCTCCATGTGTGAAGAAGATAGATCAAGGTCATTGAGGAGAATCTTGTACACAATGTGTCAGCGTAAAATCCTAGTCGACAGGAGGGTACCTACGATGAACGATGTGCGGCACTCTCGTTCAGATTTTTCCCCACGTCCGCCACCGCCCGTGTTCGCCGCCGTTCGATAAACTTCATCAAGCTTCCTCTTGATGCCGCCAGCATAATCATGATCCATAAAGTCCTTCAAGAGATCAGTCATTCGCTCAACATGCTTGAACGAGCCCGCAGACAGAACTCGCGAGTAGACTGTCTTGAGAATGTAGAATACATCGTCTGGTGTAGTAGTAGTAACAGGCGATTGCGAAAGATCAGGAGACGACAACCGGTGAGCCTCCAGAACAGTTCAGTTCGAGGTACTGATGTGTGCGAGAATAAATACCTTGTCGATGATAGTACGCGTATACCACGTCTCCATCGGAACATAATAAGTCATGAGAAGTTCGTCAAACTCTTGATGAGAGCGACTGGATTCCACCAGTTGTAGTAGATCTGGTTGAATTCCAGAGCCCCAAGCATTTAGATCGTTGTTGATATGTGACTGATGCCCTTCATGATTGGCACCTCGTAAAACAGGAGTGACCCGGCCGCTTTGAGTATCTTCCTCAGCATCTCCATCCTTGGCATTGTAAGCTTCGTGTGGGTTTCGCGTGGATGAGGATACTCACCTGCATTTGCTCCACAAGAAACTTGCGGAAAAGGTACCATCGACCGCTCATACCCGCTATCTCAGATAAGAGTTTGTCGATCTCGCGAGGGTCCAACTCATCGTCATCTTGGGATAAAACCTGGGGTGATTGCTTGCGGGAAGGTGCGATGGAGAAGGAAGAGCTGGACACATCTAGAAGCTACTGGGCACTGGTCTCAAAATCATCATCCAATTGCATGGATTAAAATACTTCACCTTCCTCTTTATTGACCTATCTTCTCTCCAGCTATCCAATGTAAGCCGCACAACACGGTCGCACTCATCCAGCAAGCGCTTGATGACGATCGTCATCTTACCTGCCCCATAATATTTATCGACGACCGGTTGGTGGTGGTCAACTATCATAGCAACACTTTCTAGCAGCGCTGTAAGTGCAGTCACAAAGTATAGAGGTGAGGAGGCTAAGTGAGATGTAAGAATGCGGTTATTGTCCAAGCCTGATATGGCGTACTTTTGGCTGATGTTGGAGCTCTCACTCGCACAAGATCGACCACAAACGATGCATAGGCCTCGAGACCTTCTGCCTCCCAACCGATAGTAGGAAAGAGTTTGAAGTAACGAGTCGTAGCTGCAGCATCTCGCGAGCGAGATGCTTGTTCGAAGTGACTCCTGAAAATGGACAAAAGTTGTTCTCGTGCAGCCTGCAGGGTCTGCGCTGGAGGTAAGTGACTCTCAGCTGTAGGCTGCTCGGTTTGATGAGAAGAGTCTGATATGTTTTGAGTAGTTACTCACAACAACAGACTCTGCAAATGGCCCTGAAATGATTGTAAAGGGCAAGGACATAGCGCGCGCGCAAGATCTGGCGGCCGATTCCCAGTCTTGGTTTTCAATGCAAGACTGTAATTGAGCAAGAGAGGACTACATAACAGCATGGATTGAATATAAAGGTGGACTGACGACATTTGAAGACATACTTTCAGTTCCATGACTTGCCCGACCCGCTCAGCAGCCTCTCCAACGCGTCTCATTTCCTCGTCAAGCGAACGTACACGTCCACCCACGCGTTCTGCTGTCTGAGCAGTAGCTGAGACCTTGGCCGAGAAGTTCGTCGCTTCAATTTGAAGGTCATCGAGACGCGGAACGAGAGCCTCCAACTGCTGGAGTGACTTGTCAATAGATTGACGATTTGAAAGAAGCTCTGTCAGGGAGTTTGAGAGCTCTGTTTCAACGGATTGATACCACGACAAGCATGATAGTATCTCGTTTAGAGAAGTAAGAGTCCGTGGATCTTTGGGGGATTGGAGGTCGTCTGGTGTTGTATTGAGGATACTCCCGGACATTGGTTACTGGCACTGCTCAAGTTAGTAATTAAATAATCTAGTTCAATTGGACTGAGCCCGATGCAGTACATAACATCATATTTTACTGACTGGCCGACGCCGTGAACTGTTTTTTCTCTTCCAGTACTCGCAAGATGTCTCATGAAATTTCTGACGTGCTCACAAACGTTGCTCTCCCAAAAACTCAGGCGACTATAACTCTTCGAGTAATCAAATCCTTCGAATACCGGACGGAACGCAGTCTTGTCTTACACATGTTGAACCTTGAGATTACAACAGTTGGCGAACTCAAGGATATGGCTCGGCGAGGTATGTTACGTTGTTTAGCATTTTCCGACTTGTTTCATCCTTCGCTGCAGCTATTCAGACTGGTTCGGGATGGAAGCCGTATCGGAACGTACACCTAGGTTAGCATCACGGCCTCTGTCTTGATAGGAGAATGTTTAAATTTCCGGCACAGATACACTTAAGTTGTACACCAAAGCTCACGGTGCCAAGGTATGGTCCCCGACCCGTACAATTTTGAGGCTTGGCCTGAAACCCCTGTCAGACGACCAATCTAATCATCAATATGGACCACGACGACTGGATTTTCGACGATGACGCCTGTACCCTAGCTGAACTTGGTATTGGTAAGTCCTTGAGCGTGTGGATACATGTGATTGTTGACTGTCGCGCCCCAGAAAACGAGACAGAGATAAGCTTCTTTAATCATGCAGCCTACAATGCATTCAAGGAAAATCCCGAAGTACAATTCCCTCTCATCTTGATGAAGTCCTTCCTTCTCACCGCCGTCAAACTCAGATTCGATGGGACATTCCTCAGTAATGCAGAGTGTCAACCAAGAAGTGAAAAAGTGTCAATGAAATGAAAATGCGTATTAAATGTAACGAGTGTAACAACAGATGCCGAATCTCTAACGCAACAGATATCATGCTAATCATGCTAATCGACATGCACAAATCACTGATTTGCGCATTGAACACGCGGCTCTCCTTCATGATCCTCGTCCATCGACTCATCTGACATAGCATTCGCCTTTGACCGCGCGTCAGGCTCGTCCAGATCCACCTCCTCGAGATGAACGTTCTTGGGGAACTTCTCGATCTCTGTTCGTGGTGGCAGTGCCCTCTCAAGTAAGGGGATAACAGCCGGATCGATGTGTTCGGGGAAATTTACAGTGAACTTCACAAACAGATCTCCCGGCTCATGATGTCGCTGAGAGGGCATTCCCTGGCCGCGTATGACTTTGACAGCATCTGCCAAAAACATCAGCACCATGTTTTATCACCATGCTCTTCATAAATTCTCACCGTTCTTGACAACCTCGCCAGGAACAAAGTTCACAACAAGGGCGCGTTCATCCAGGTGACGAATTACAACTCGGCCACCCCCAAGGGCTGTCAATAGATCGATCTCTAGTTCCGTTATGAGATTGGTCTCTTGACGTTTGAAGCGGTCATGCGGTTTTTCTTCTATGACGATAACGACGTCTCCTGAATCGGCGTTTGGCGACTGATCGCTTTCCCCGCTGAAAATGATCGTCTGGCCGCCCTTCATACCCTTGTCTATGTGCACTTCCAAAATCTTCTTCTCAGGCATGACTTTCTTGCCTTTGCATTGCTGGCAGCGATCCTTTGCGTTGATCACCTCTCCCGTACCCGAACATTCGTCGCAGGCGGACTGAATCTGCTGGATCATGGGGCCCATCTGGCGCAATGTGACCTTGATGCCACGTCCGTTGCATGGAGAACACGGTCGCACAGCGCCTTCTTTCCCGCCGCGACCGTGGCACTTGGTGCAAAGTGCGTTGCGAGTAAGGGCAAGTTTAGTTGTCTTGCCCTTGTAGAGATCCTCAAGCGTGACGTTTACACGATGTACGAGGTCCTTAGTCTTGCGGGCAGCTTGTTGGCGACCGCCGCCGCCGCCACCACCAAAGAAACCGCCACCGCCGAACAATTGACTGAAAAGGTCCTAGGGGTTCAAGTCAGTCCAACGCCACTATCGATGTCCACTAAGGCTTACCTGGGGATCCATCCCACCCATTCCGCCTTGCTCGGAAAGACCAGCTTCACCTCGAGCATCATATATACTACGTTTTTGTGAGTCGGAAAGAATCTCGTATCTACAAAATGAGACAACGAAAATTTGAACATGTAATGTAAGACGTACGCATGTGTAACTTCCTTGAAGAGTTCTGGGTCGCCACCTTTGTCAGGGTGTAGTCTCAAGGCTCTGCGAAACGAGTCAATGACGTTCAGACTTGCCATGATTCTTATCTCACTTCTTCCTGTATGCCTTCTTCAAATCAGGCTCTGAAGCATCTACTGGGACTTCCAGGAGATCATAAAACTTTCTGCGCTAAGTGTTAGCATATAAATCGGCTTAAATATCACTAGCCGCACGTTTCTTTGACCATGGCGTAGGGAGGGTAGCTAGAAGACAGGAAGGTGGCTGACACAGAAGTGGACGCTGTTCACTTTTTCTAAGGATTCCACCCGCGCTCAAGAATCCTGTGGAATCTACTAGAATTTTCTTTAGCTGTGCTAGCTTCTCTCAAAATGGAAAGGGTCTTTTTTTCGATCACTGCCACATTGCCAAGATTGTCATTAATGATCACAGCTTTTGAGGAGCAGGCGCAGACGGTTCAGATGTTCCTGTAGATACAGCTCGATGAATAGTACAGGATGTCCGGACTTTCCAAAGTTATTCTACTAAGGCTGTAGGTGAGATCACCGTGAGAAATCGTGAGTCATGCTTCAACGTTGTCAACGTTCCCCCTTGTTCGAAAGACATGGTCGATTATGGAAAGACTACATAGCTACGTCAACAGCATTGTCACCTATGCTCTTCATACCTTATCAGGCGCTCACATCGGGATAGACATCAAAACGACGTTGTTTTGTGACTGGTATTCCAGCTCTTACTTCGTGGAACGGTTCAGGATCTAAATCCCGTGTCAAATCAGCAACTTGTAAACAACGTGAACGATGTTAATATTCACCGATATCGACATGCAGGATTGACTCGTTTTCATCAGCCTCCGCGAGTACACGGGCACTGAAAGTTGCTTTAGTGCGATCCGGGTACGTCGAAGGATAATATGCCTTACTATGGGTCAACGACCATCGAGTGCCCCCACTATCAGGATAGTTCAGATCTTTTGGTTGCACAATTAATGTGGCGGTTCACTTACTGCATGGTACCCAGCGGTCATATCCCGTGCTGGGCTGCACATGGAAAAGAAAACCTGGTTATCGTTGGCCCTAAAGGCTACGTCAGGAACTATTGAGCACAGTTGGACAACGCGCTACCGAGCTCGTTGAAGGAGTTCCCAATGCAAAGGTCCAGTGGTGAGATTAAATGCCCCAGGATAAACTATGGCATGACAACCTTGAGGGGTTGTGCGTTTTTCGTTCCTTGTATAAATCATATAACCACGGACCTCGCCGTGCCGCTATCATTGCTAGTTCCGGGAACCTAACATCGTAGCATAAACCGAGGCCAATACGTGCAAATTCTTGGGAGAGTTTCATCGGGTGCGGCGCAAGCACTTTGTATGAGGTTCGTACCAGTATCAAAATAGTTCGTTGTCGTTCCTCCTGTCAATGTTTCACTCTCCTGTAGGTACGATAAGATCCAGAAAAGACGCTAAAGCGAGAACTAGTAAAGGGCATACCTTGAATGTTATCTTCCCAGGGATGTCGATGTCGAATAAGTGAACCTTGCGATGTGATGCAACAAGTGCACCTCCATCCACGTACGTTAGCGTTGATTGGAGTAAATTTGAGGGAACTTGACACCTGTCGGAGAATACACAGTGCATGTGTTGTAGACGTTGTTCGTCTCTTCATCTCTCTCGGGTATCGAACCTGTTGAACAAAATATAAATTTTCTACCTCCTTGCCATACGTTTGAGCGAGGTACGACCTCCAATGAGCCAGATTCCTGCCTCCTTCGCAGCAGAAGACAGCATCTTGACACTTTCGCTTACACTCGCTTGAATATCATACTCCTTGCCAGCAGTGTAGCCAATGTTCTCGGCATACGCGGGGAAGTGAACAAAGCCGTACGGCGAGTTAAAACATTCCTGAAAACAGAATAAGATGAGATACAGTCAGGTGAATTGAATTTGACCCCATACTGGCAATACAACAACTTGAGGCTTGTCTGAATTGCTCTTTACTGCCATTCACGATCATCTCGCGAGCATGTTGAAGATTGGCTGCCTTATCAGAGCCAATAGAACCAAGCTGGATAAGCGTGAGGGTGAATGGCTTGAAGACAGGAGGAGTGACTGAAGCCATGGTACGACAAGTAAAATGTTTGAGATTGTGCGACAACAGTAGCGCTCCGGATAGACGCAGGTGCGGAAACATATACACAACTAAGTTTGCTATCTTCTAAGTTCTGTATCACCACTGCTCGGGCCTCGGCCCGGAGTACCGTAAGCATCTTATCAGTGAACAACGAGGTCCTTAGAACACTCCAAGTCATCTTCAGTTTGTGAGCTAAATTCCAGCTGGTGACTAGCGATACAAGGAATTCGTTACTGATTATACGTTTATCAGAGCGCCATGGCGAGTTATCCACTGCTAGTGATGTACAATCCCGTCTGTGGAAATGGCACTGCCGAGGCCTTTTTCAATGAACATGTCTTTCCTCGTCTCGAGGAAGCGAATATCCAAGTTACCCAAAGAGTGGCAACTGGAGCCGCTGGACATGCTGGCACCATAGTGTTCGAATTCCTCGAACGATATGAGGGCAACGTGACAGTCATACTGGGCTCCGGTGATGGAACACTGCACGAAATCATCAACGCCCTCTCACTCGTGGCACTGAAAGGTGTACGTGAGCATGTTGTATCATCCCCAGTTCGTGTAGTTCTTGTCCCGTGTGGGACGGCAAACGCTCTCTACTGCTCGTTATTCAAACCAACCTCCACTAATGAGGGCCCAGCATACAAGCTGAAGTCTCTTGAAGCATTCATCAGGGGCTCAAATGTCGTTCCCCTCACGCTGGCTGTCACGACTCTATCTTCTCCACCGAGCTCAAAGCAATCTTGTTCCAAGGTCGCTGTTTCAGCGGTAGTGACCTCTACTGCTTTGCACGCCTCTATCCTCCATGACTCCGAGAGCCTGAGGAAAGAAATGCCAGGCATCGAAAGATTCAAAGTTGCTGCGAGGAACAACATCACGCAATGGTACAGCAGCCATGTCAAGCTCCTGCCTGCGCGATCTGCTCAGGCTGTAGAGATATACGATCCAGACCAAAAGACTTTCGTAACTCACGAAGATTCAGACGACCATGGCATTGTAGATGTGTATGGCCCATTTGCATACTTTCTTTCTACCGTCAATGTCGATCGTTTGGAACCTACTTTCAGAATCACCCCTCTAGCGTCCGATTCTGTTTCGTCGGAAGTCTCGCTAGACCTTGTCATGGTTCGACCTCACCGTGATCCTAGCTTCGTCATGGATACCATAGAAGCTCGAAATGCATTTGCAGAAAAATCACATACCGTGCTGACTGCAGCATACCAAGATGGGAATCACATTAACCTGAGATACACCGACGATGGAAAGATAACCAGTGAAGGGACAGGTCCCACTGTGGTAGAATATATCCGGTGCAGAGGATGGGAATGGATACCCGTGAGTTTCCCCCTCCTGATCTTCATACGCATGCTGATAGCGAGTAGGATGACGTCGATGGAAAGGCCCACCTTCTATGCTCAGATGGAGCCATATTCTCAATCGTGAAAGGCGGAAGAGCAGCATGCAGGGCAGTAGTACCAGCCAATGATGCAGGATTTTTGGTATACGTCTAATGTCAAGCAAGGTTGTTCCAATCTCAGGAGGTATTTTGGTCGAAAATAACTTGCTGTCAGGATTCAGCAGCGCGTCTTTGTACGATAGACTTCCTCGGAGTTATATGTCTTTTGTTCCATCACTGGCATGGTTTGTTCAATGTATGTACTTGAACTTATTGTCAATTAGGACAGGAATTGGGTCGACGATCGTTGCGCACAAATTCTACGAAAACGCTTGGCATCTTCACGTCCTCCGCTCTTACTGCGCATCACCCTCCCTAATAAATCAGAGTTAGGCACGCAGTGTCCTCCCACACCGTTACTTTGATCGAACTTCAGCCTGATCGAATCAAGGGAAACCGGCGATCAAAAATGGTCCTTGTCATACGTCTAATGTCCGTCTTTAGTACTTGGTCATGGCATTCTCGAGAAGCTTAATGGTGACATACTATGACCCACGTTTTGCTCTTCACGTACTTAGAACACCTCTAACTGGTTCTGTTCGCGCGAGCCTTGAAGCTTGAGGTTCAAGCTCAAGGCAGCAAACGCATCAACAAGCTTGTTACCTGTCATTGCCCTTCCCTATGCCACACTTATCAGGCCAGCGGATGCGGAACTTTGAATGTATGGATGGATGTAGTACATAGCGGGGACTTGTCAGCCAGTACTTTGAAGGACAGCCACGGGGTCCTCGTAAGTTGTGAATTTGTCGCCCATAAGCAAGCTTGATTATTACGGCAAGACCAGCACGGCCGCGGGCTGGCAGTACAAAACTTCTGTTACATACCACGCCTCGTTTCCGGCTGTACTGTAAACCTTGGCAGAAAGCTGATCCTCTTGAATCCATTCGCCGCACGTTCAGTGGACATGGATAGCGGAGTAGTGAGAATCAGTCATGGATCAGACGTTTTTGTTGTTCGCGCATGTTCTAATGATGATGGGGCAGACTTGTTGGCTATCGCAGGCGAGCATTCAGTGGAAGTCTTCCGTGTAGTATGTGCGTTCCCAAGTTGTATGAACTATGCCGTTGATCATATCTTTTTCTCTTTAAGAGCCCACCCATCAGTGAAAGGGTAGCGTCTTTTCATATTGGGAGACGCATAACAGCTCTAGCGTGGTCGCCTCGATCCATTTCGCCTAGTTCAAGTGATGACTGGGTTATTGAGTAAGGCGGTCCTCACTGTCTGCAAAGCATGAAATTGACGCTGTCTTAGAATTACTGCTGCTGCCTCAGACTTCAGCCTTCACCTGCTCACAAAGTCTTCAACATCTTCCGAGAACGTGTTCGCGTTTGGTGGTGGTCTCAGCGGACACCACGGCAAAGTCAATGACATGTGCTTTTGTGGAGGACGTGATCAAGACAATGCAAGATATGTCGCAACCGTAGCAGGTGCGTCACTCGTTCAAAGTGCATATAGAGCATATCTGAACACTAAATCTTGTGTCCAGATGACAAAATGCTGATGGTTTGGGATCTACATCCGGCGTTGGATATTTCTTCTGGAATCCCTTCTCCAGAGAGGTCAATGGGTGCCAACGCGTCGTCGTCACCCCATCCCCGTCCTCAACCAACTGCATATGGGATTTCGTTTCCCCATCCCCTTGTTACTGTGAATTGCCACCAATTCAGCAGCAAAGAATTTCTCGTATCAGACTGCCGAGGTTCTATCTTCTTGACGGACTGGAGGTCTGATCCAGAGCAAAGTGAGCAGGGGAGCTGGAGGCATTCCAGTGTTATTGAGCTTGTTGAACCACACGCGCTGTCCAAGTCATTGATGGGCATTTCATCACAGTGGACAGGATTTGCAGCTTGGCGTCAAGATAACGTCGATATGTCGGTGCACAATTGATTCTGAGTTCGACCTACAGCTGATTCTATGTTATTTAGCGTAGGGGCAACTTACGGCTCCCGCTTTTCCATATGGGATTTGTCTAAGCCCCAGGGTGGAAAACCTTTACAAACAGGTGTAAGTTTTCCTGAAGGTGGTCACCAATTCCGGTACGCTTTTGTCGGTCCATTGTTTTTAACTATCGAAGCCCTCACATTGGTCTATAAGATGGTGTCTGACGAGTCCAGACTATTTTGCTGTTGCATCCCAGTGCCCAACCAAAGGAGCTGTTATTCACATTCACGACATGAATTATGTTCATGCACAGCCTCACGTCATTCAACATTGCTCCCCGCCCCCATCGCGTCCGGGATTTTGATTTTATGGCTAGGAGGGGTAATCCAGTGCTTGCAGTTGCATATGGTGTAGAAGTCGTTGTTTTCCCCATCGGCGTTGAGTAACATTTCGATAGAGAATTAACCACGATGAAGTCATTCATAAACCAATACTACTGCTGTACTGAAGTGCTGCCAGAAAATTACGTGTATGAAAATAAGTGCAAGATAAGCAACGACCCATCAACTAGTCCCAAATCCATTTTGTCCCATAGGTGCTATGTGGACGTATGGATGCTGGGAATAAGAAGTAGATGTGTCCCCGTAGGCGATATTGCGGAAACCGTCGTTGGCAGGAACGGTGGTACCGTTCTCTCCAAAACCAAGCTCGACTAGCATACTGCGGTAGTAATGAAAGTCGGTTTCTGAGACATGCCCTATGTTATAACCCGACATTTGACTTGGAGGGCCATACGAGCCAGAAGCACGGCCTAACGCATCGGTATAGTTCGACCCTCCGCAAGGTGCGCTTTGACCATTCATATCAGGATGCTGCGTTGGATACGTAGAATATGGCATTGATAAGGGAGATGGACATGCAAACTGCTCGGGTGCGCATGGAACACTCGTTATATATGAACCTGACGAATGAACAATGAATTGTCAACATATACACCACATAGGGCGGAGACGACGTACTTTGAATGTTTGGGTCAATGGGAATGTCTTTTTGAGCATTTTGTCGTGCCCGTTCTATATCATTACGAACAAGACTCCACAGAAACCGAGCGTGGTAAGCAGCTGATGTTGAGGTGGGCGAAAGGTGAGAAGCTTCTTGATATGCATCGGCTGTTTTCGTGATCGCAGTATGAATCTGATGAGCTGCACCCTCCGGCAATTCTGATTGCAAGTCTGTGTGAGTATTAGAGCTGCGGAGTAACTAAGGTCGACGCATCAACTTCACTCATATTTGGAGGTAGCACATTTATTACCTTCAATAGAAATATGGCAGAGTATGCAGTCATAACGGAGGTTGTCTCTTGTCCATAGCGCTGCATAAAGTGTCAATTAGTGGAAAGTGCGCTAAAGCAAGACTTACCAAAACACCAAATTCCCTAAAGTCTTTTGATGCGATTCCCAACACACTCAATGCATTTTCAAAACATGCAGATAAAGCGCGAACATGACTATTTGTGCGGTTGGCCTGAGGACGACGGTATAGCAATGATGCATCGAAAAAAATTGCGTACTTACGGGTGGGACGCTGGATTGAACACCAAAACTATTCAAGAAAAGGCTCGAATAGAGGCAAAAGAGATTGGTGAAGGAAAAGTGGAAAGACTCTCCGTTAGCTACCAGTAAGATATGAGGTCATGCATCAGGATATGAGATGTCGTGTTCCTCACCTTTTCTCATCTCATGGTCCCAGGTAGTAGTCCACAGTGCAAGCTTCCCATTGCAGTTTTTCAGCACCATATCGATATTGACTTGACTGTTTCCACCGTCCGAAAGACTCCGGTTCGTGTGGAACATGTCTGTAGCCTCGGTCTAATACCATTGGATTCTATCACGCAGGTATTAAGAAAAAGGTCTCACCGCTATACGACGGAGTTGTGCGAAAGCAGAAACGATGACATCTTCGCATCGAATGGGGGATCCACCCTGCTCATGCCAGGTTTCAGAGTGCCTTATGAAGTCATCCTACAGCGAGTGTGAACCATCATCTTGGGAAAATAAAAATGTTTTACTTCAGGGAGCATCCAATGCCGACCCGTCTGCATGCTGAGACTCCGGTCATGTACAAAGAGGACGAGGTATGTCCTCTCTCGGTTCCGCCTTTCACGAAGCTGGAAATCGGTTTCGTGAGCAGGAGGTTTCGCATGATATCGGTTGAGGCCAAGTTCCACAGCCATTCGACACGCCTGAACAAAACCCGACAATTAATTTGTCGAGATTGATTAACTCTGGAGCGCTCACATATCCAATATACATCCATGTCCGCTTCGATGAGATTCAGCTTGAGTAAGTTGAGACATCCAAAACACACTCACGTTGTCCTCTTGTTCTCTCCAATAAGTCAGGCACGCAAATGCTTGGATCACTTCTACTCGTTTCCAGCCTTCTGCAAATGCCCGGACTGCGAGGTCATTAGCAAGCTTCAGACACTCCTTGTATAAGCTTGGTTCGAAGAATTTGCAGCCAGCCATTATCAAGGTAGTAAATAACAAAGGGCATTTAGACCGCACATAGGCAACGGAATGCAGGGCTGGATCGAAAAGATTAATAAACGGATTCAGTCGAAGGAATATGGCATCAAAGAGGATCTTTGCTTTGTTTTCGTTGATTAAGCCGGCTGTGATTGGATCATTGTAGCCGATCGGGAGAGGCGCCGGGCGCAATGACTGTGGGAGGTAAGGATTTCGGGGCACATGGAGCATTGGCGACTTGTGTTCTGGGTTGAGGATGGTCCTGAAAAAGGAGTTTTCCCTTCTGATTAATTTGGCAGGGAATTTCTCGTCGCTCCTTTCCCCGTCCTCTTCCTCCTCTGGATCAACAGTGCGTGAACTGACGCTCGAAGCCGCATATCCATCTATGATAGTATGTTTTGAGTCACAGTTTGTATTTTCGTAGCACGAAATAAATTACCAGCGGAACCATAAGCGTCAGAGGACTGGAGTCCACCAAACTGAGTGTTCTCTGTCTGAGGAGTGCGGGGGTCGGCAGGGAATACCGTCGACAACGATGAATCACTTTGTTTGAGTTTCGCCGTGTTTAATCCCTTCTCTAGGCGTCGGAGCATTTTAGACGCCTCAGATAGCCTTGGGACCTTGTGAGAGGCAGTAGGCAAAGTAAGAGAAATATTCTGACTTTGATCCAGGTTTGCGGCCTCTGCGATGTTTCTCAAAGACACATCTTACAGAAAAAGGATTAACGTCTTGGTGGACTATTGGAAGAATTCATTACTTACTCTACACCTGTTCTTTTGCACCTTTGACAAGACTTGAGACCGTCGTCTGCTCCGACACATTTCATCTATCGGGAAGTCAGATGACTTATTTATCTCGATCAGTCGACCACCCACCTTTGCTGCCCGACAAACAGTGCATGCTCTTGGATTGCGCACGATAGGCGCTTTTGAACTGAAACGAGGCTCGGTAAACATTCCTGATTGACCAGATTTCCGTCATGGAAGGTCTTACGCTGCCCTTGACTGCTCGTCTACAAACTCTGAAGTGCCTTGCATTCCTACTTGAAGTCGATACGGTTATCAACGTCAACGGTGACTCGGCGTCTCTTTATCGACCGGGGAAGGCCGGTTAATTTAGACTGAAATTAAGGTGTGCTAGAGAGGGTTAAACTAGTAAGGAGGACGGGGAGACACTTCCACAAACGATAGAGGGGAAGAGAAAGTAATGGGGGTAGGAGGATGAAGGATTTGAAGTAGTAATACGCTGCGATATCGATGAGGCGGAGAGAGATGGGGAAGGGCACAGTCGCAGTGGGATCTGTTGCAAATAAAGCCGAGCGGCAGAAAGAAGTCGAATTGCCGAAGACGGCAATCATAAAATTGTCCGATTATTATACAAAACAAGAAAATACAGCATAATTCATTTAAGATAGACCATCCCCGATAGTTACTCTAGTAGGGTCATCTCGCTACTATGGTCAAGTATATGATGCGAACTGTCTTGAAATTTAGTTTTTTACCTAGTGATATTTGACAGTTGAACGTTGAATCTGCCGTACTCACGGGTATCTAGGCGTTATCCTCATGCATCGCCTTATCCTAACATCCGAGAAGGGAGGGAATTCAATGAACGCAGGTTGCCGAGCTTAGGTACAGGTACGCTCCCTCCGGACTATTGGTTATTTTTGGTTGACCGAAATTAACTGTTACAAACTGTAGTAGTAGTACTATGTCGTGATTTTGAACACTTAGAGATATCAAGCCGAGACGAAAGGTGGTGCTTAGCACGAAATGAGCAATTGGGTGACTCTCAAAATAACGATCAACGCAACTCCAACACGACTGTACGACGGCTCAAATAAAACTCCGACTCGCGCCAAGTTATTTTTATTCTAGTTCCTTGGGTCAGATGCTACTTATTGCGGGGGAACTACGCCCATCACTCTAGACCTTTAACCGTGCGTCCAATCACGTCACGAATTCCATTGATTGATTTCGACTTTAGATTACATAAATATCTGTTTTTCGTGAGTTCTTGATGCCGTGACCGAGCCGTGTAGGCATGCCGCCGCATAAGTATGGGTTCTGGCCACGCACTAAAAATATGCATCGGGTATTATTCTCAAGTGTACCATGATGTGCGCGCAAAACACAGCTTCACATGCCTTCTGGAGACTAGATTTAGACTGCCTCCATCTCACCAGAGTCTTTGACACAGCACAAAGAGTGGTTCTCACTCAAAGCTCAATGACAATCATGGATATGTGGTGTTACAGCTGCTGGATTTGGAGTATTGACGTCAGGGACACCTCGTGCCTAACACGCACCTATTCGTCTCGAACGTGACCTTACGTGGCATGGCCCTTTGTGGTACCTTGTCTACGACGTATACAAGGAAGATATGTTCAGTCGATAGCAATCCTCGGTTCCCTTCGCCATGCCCCCACTAACTGGTAATGTTAACGTAGCTATTCACATCACTTCCAGCATTATTGGCGAGGTAACAATTTCAACAAATTCCAGCACAGCAACAACTACGACAAGCACCGAACACGCTACACCAATCTCCATCCCAGCAGCCGTCGGCGGTACTGCCGCGGGAATAGCGCTTGCGGTTGCAGTGGTGGTGGGATGGAGATGGTGGTCATCGATCGTTAGACAAGCGAACAAAAAGTGCCGCTCGCCAAGGGTACGTTCTATGTAAATCTCAACTTTAATATCTTTGTCATTCATTGTGCTCAACAGCAAAATGTTCTCAGGAGACATGACAGAACTACTCCGAACAAACCAAACGAGGAAGGCTGTGGCCCCTCGAGCAGTACGGATGGCACTGGGTGCTCATACGGGAAAAAGAGTTTTTCAGATTCATCGCCAAACACAATAGGCACTACATCATCCCACACAACTCCCGTTCAGCCTTCCTCGAGTATGGCTGCACTGTTACCAGCACCCCCAATAAAACCCCCACGGAATCCAGCTCGTGCTCTGCGACGTCCTTCGGGTCAACTCAAGGAGAGCCTCGCGCGTGGAAGCAGGTCATCATTTGCCCGGTCGTCGAACAGGTTGTCTTATAAATCAACCATCAGCACTGCTTCAATGTATTCTACCCAGACTGATGAGGAACAACACTTACGCGTGCCCGCAGCTGTCATAACAGCAGCCTTGGGTGGCCCTCGACACCTTTCAAGATTTGGTCATAGCTCCGAGCCCTACACCATTGGTGAAGAGCAGACAGATACAGTAGTTCCTAGCTCAAGCCTGCGGGACTCTGCGCACATTACCCAATTACATCGGGTGTCAAATATTAGTGCTGGGTCATTGTGCCTTCAGCAGGGTGAACTGACAGCGGATTCAATTGGAGTGGCATATGGCGGTGAAGAGCCGTGATGAACTATGAAAGGCTCACGGCTGGGGGGCTATTTCCAGAGGACGAATGATTGGGCCACGAAATCAAATTGTACTATCCATAGCATAGGATTCACACCCTACTAGACTCTCCCATGAAACACGACATGGACCATGCCACAAGTGTGGTAGTGGGTCTTGGCTCTTGATGGTGCCTACCGAAGAGAAGCGAGATGTTGCTGGCAGGTGCATGCGGAACAGTGAGTTGAGAACCGAATGTCAGGAACAATTTGCCTACCGATTCCGCTTGAGCTACACTAGCGTTGAATTCCCTCACTTCTCGCCAGCAGTCCAAAGGCGCGGTGGGATTTTGTCTATGGAAGCGACAAATGAGAATCTCAGGACGGGGTGAACAAGTGAGATAGGCTCGCCTATAGCATAACACAACTGCTTCGCCGCTTTCCTTGACCCCAGGATAATCGCTCAGCTGCTTCCTGGCCTGGAACCTGTCGACCTTGGTACGAATCTCTTCAAGATCTCCCATCAACGTCATGCTATTCTTGACATCACCCTCAGCGACCTCATCCGAAGGTTCTCCGCCTGCCGAGGACATCTCCCGGTCAATGTTCTCCCTCTCAAGGGCGAGTTCTATTTCCTTCTGTACACTTTCCTCTTCCGCTCGTAGATGCTGCAGCTCCGCTTGTATACGAGCACGTACGTGGGCATCAAGTGTAGATTGCCGTTCTGGCGAGGTGTCGGGTGACATTGAGCGATCCGAGAGGTGGTTCACGACATCCTGCGAGAACTTGATATTACACACAACTTCAGGAAACTAGTCTTTAGGATAGTAAGAAGACCAGACCTGTATGGGTGTCTCATTGTAAAAGACCTTTTCTTCTGTGTCCGCTTTGGACTGGCCAGCGCCCATGATTGAAAAGACTTTCACGATAAGTATTTCAGTAATATTAGCGCTTATGGTGTTTCGGACTTTCAACTTGAGCTCGGCAAGCTTTACGGATGTATATTTCTTTTTTTTTCTTTTTGGAAAAGCGAGTTTATTACACAGCAACTGACACCGTTTGCTAAGTATGTACTAAACGCTTATAGCGACGCACTAGCGTCGTCCGAGGACAAAATGCTACTTATGCACACTCCGCATCTGCCAGTAGGAGTAGTGTGGGACTCCGTACACTACCTGGTTACCTCGATATGCGGGGGCCTGGGTAGTTTGATACCCACTAAAACATCTAGAGTAGTTACCCAGTTGTTTCGAAATGGGGTGTCGATGTCGATTACGTCAGCCCACGTGTTATGACCTGTGTTGTTGCCTTTGGGACTCGTTTTGTCTTGCATACTATATTGCTCTGTCTAGTTGTAGACGTCGGTTTAGCGTGTGAGTCCACCTTTTGACGGCAACGTCGTCTGTATTTGGTTTTTAATGACACGTTCGCAGCGCAGCGTCCATATGAGGTAGGCTGATTCTGATATCAGAATTCTCAGGAGGCGTGACGCCCCTAAAATTTCTACTGCAGTTTTCTTTGCGTCGTTCGGGTTTCTGTCTCGGGGTATTTGTGAGAGGCAGATGGCCCCGCAGCCGAGGATGATAGGAACTATCGATACCCACAGTCCCGGTGACCTCTTGCCAGCGCACAATGCTACCTCACAATACGGGCACAACGTCGCCATATTCCAGGTAAAAATTGCAGAACGTCAACAGTAGAACAACATTGATTGACCACCAGAACCAAGTCCCATCCATATCGAATTAACCCGCAGCATGCCTATGTTGGTATTTATGACCGTAATCGAGTAGCCTTCACCAGTTGAGCGAGTACAGGGCCACACAAGGGAAATTTGACTCACCAGTCTGGTTCGATTTCTGAGAGTATTCTTATCCTAACAAAAAATGAAGTTTACGGCCCCTCATACAAGTAGATAGACATACTGCGTTTTCTTGGTTTCTTCCACTTCGTGGAAGACCACCCATCCAGTCCGCGACTTCCGAGTGAAAAGCACAGATGTTGGGTGAACATACAGAGTCTGCTCGAGTGAACAACGGTGAATGTCGTACATTCAGCAGTATTGCTTACTTTGTTCCCCTTCACCGAACGATACGTTCCATCTGCAACCCATCGGGCACCGTTGCGCCAATACCCACTGACCAAGCATTGCCGAAGCCGTTTAGCATCACCTTCGCAGCTCTGGAGTGGTAAGTTGAAGCGAATCATGTATTTCTTCAACTGGGACCGAATCGACACCGCTCTCGACATGGCGCGGAAGTTGAGAGCATGAGTTTTACACCATGATGAAGATCGACCGTATTTAGTGAAAGCATTATATGCTGCCAAACATAAGCAATCAACTTTTGGGTGTAGCGAGCAAATACCATTTAAAAGGGTCAGATGGTCCTGATATCAATATTGTCAGTCTACTGATTTGAGGCGAGCCAGGATGGATCATACCCCTTCCTCGGCTGTGAATTTTCGTCTCTCCAGTTCTGCAATCGCTCCGGGAGCACCATCAGGTATAACAAATGCATCCTATGATATCAACAGGTAAATACGATAGGAACGTCGGTCCAATGAGGCACTCACTTGTATTGAAATCATGGCAGCAATTGTGAGAATTTCCTCACCGCAATTGAAGTCCTTCGAGGTGAAAAGCTGCCTGTGCATCAAGCCATGCAACAAAAATCAATACTGGTAGAAAAGCGCACCATTCTAGCTATATTGACCTCGATGGGGCATTCTGCAACTCGCTCACCGATTGGAGTAAGGAGGCCGTCGTCGCCAATCATTCCTGCAGCAAAGAGCCCCTCAAGCGCACGGAGAATGCTTTCTGCTGGAGGTGCCGAGACCCATTCAAACTTCATAAGGTCATCTATACCTAGGGACTTCAGTTGCAGAATTGGAGTGGTCATATCAGTGCGAGTGATCTCAGGCGGCGTGCTTGTAGGAAGAGAAGCGAAAACGGAATCAGGATATAATCGATAACAGATTCCTGGCGAGGTCCGTCCGGCGCGACCAGCTCTCTGTATGGCAGATGCTTGGGAAACAGGAACTGTCGACAGTGAGGCAAGGAAAGTAGTTGGATTGTATGTCCGTATCTGGTGTCCATGAGAGAACGCGATCAATAAGGTAATGAAACTTACCTTTACGAACCCACTGTCGACAACAAACTTCACCCCATCGATGGTGACGCTGGCCTAATTGCATCATAAGATACCAAGTTGCCAAAAATGGTGCGACTCACTTCCGCGATGTTTGTGGCGGCGATAACCTTTCGCGTCCCTCGTTCTGCAACATTGAAAATCCTGAGTTGTTCTTCTGTGCTTAGGCCAGCGTGCAGTGCAAGAGGAATTATCTGTGTGGCTCCTCGTGGAAGTCTAGAAAGCATCAGAGTTTGCATGAGCACGGGGAAAATACACAAGTAAACAGAATGCGCACGTAGGAAGAAGTTCTGTGAGTTCCTCTAAGCATCTTTCTATTTCCTCACGTCCCGTCAGGAATATCAAAATGTCACCAGCGCCGTGCTGCGTAATAGGGAGTGATGGGTAAAAGGGAAAGAAGGTCCAGGGGACGCACCTGCAGGTTAATGTTCCATGCAACCTCTACTGCCTTCCTCACATAGTCTGGAGCGGGCTCTTGAAGGTAAGCAACCTCAACAGGAAACATGCGCCCTTCCAGACTAACAATAGTGGCGTCGTCTGGATGTGTCCCCGAAGTGAAGTATTCTAAGAATGATCTAGCATCCAAAGTAGCTGATGACACTATCAGCCGAAGCGATGGGCGCTTACGCCTAATTCTGTTATGCCATTTTAGCTAAGTAGCCAAGGGGAAAGATTAAAGTATGTTTGACAGACTTCTTCAAGACACCCAGAAGTAGATCTGTGTAAAGACTTCGCTCGTGCGCCTCGTCAATCTAGCAACCCACTGAGAATATGGCGACAAGAACAATGCAGTACTGACCATGATGACGCTGTAGCGTGAGAGGAGAGGATCAATCAGCGTCTCTCGAAAGAGCATGCCATCGGTCATGTAGCATATGCGGGTTCGCTCCTTGTCACTGACATCTTCAAAGCGAATAGTATATCCAACCTACGGGAATACTCGTAAGTGATGCAGAGGCACATCAGCCTAGTGGCGTACCTCATCCCCAAGAAGGGTACCAACTTCTGCTGCAACTCTGATAGCAACAGACGTTGCTGCCACGCGTCGTGGTTGGGTGCAGGCAATTACATTACCTTCGGATGCCCAACCAGATTCTAGGAGATACTGGGGTAGTTCTCAGCCTGGAGTGAGATGGAACTGGGATTATCCGTGAAATTTGATGATTGCTCACGAGTTGTTTTTCCTGACCCTGTTTGACCGACAACAATTGTGACACCATGCTTTTCTATACAATGCAAAAGTTTTTGCCCTGTAAAACAGAGTTGGATAGTGCTTAGAAAACAACGGCAGTGATTGAACATACGGTGTTGCCAAATGGGCAATCGTTCACGCTGCGCTTGTATAGAAAGGGAGCCATGTGAAGGCGCAGATTGAACGACATTTCCTTCCTCCTCTGTTGCCCTGTCAAGTGTGCTTCCAGGTCCAGCAGTTCCTGGCTTCCAGAACGTCAAGGTGGACATGGAGTGTGATGCAGTAAGTATAACGATAGATGGTTGTTTGGATTCAAAGGCTTTGCACGCAATGTACAAATAACTGCCAATAACGCGCTGTCAACGTTATTACAATTAATCGTTCTTTCCTTCTTTTGCAAATGGATGCCCGAGAAGATCTACCTAAAATATCAGTGGAGACAGAACAGGACTGGCGACGTCTTCAGCGAAATATCTCAACCGCTTTCCTCGATAGATTGGACTTGGAACTGGAATCTCAGGGTGTCAGCCAAGACAGGGAATCATTTCTACCTCACATAAATCAAGTGAGTAAAGCATCTTTCATCCAAGCACGATATTCTGAAATCTGTTAGTTCCTCGACACACTTTTTGCGATAACTAGACCGAATCTCCGTATCAACGGACGCACTGCAGAAGAGTCATACGACGACGACGACGAAGGTGAGAGCTACATGCTTGATAGAGGAATTGATTTTGCTGATGAATAGTAGAGATGGAGCCTTTTGATGAGGCTCTTGATCGACATATTTGGTCGCTCTCCGATCAGCGACTGAAGTGGGATAGGGAAATCGGAGGTCGCCGCCGGACACGTCCCACCGAAATCGAAGCTCTGGTTCAGGGGGTTTACACTCAGCATCGTAGTGTTGACATGGAAATCGATGCGAATCAGGAACCATATCTTTCAGGTCTGGATGGTACGTGTAAACGTTGAATGGGGGAACACATCTAACTGACCCATAGACAGCCAACTTGATCCTACGATGGAAGAAACTTTCGTGGATGCCGTTACTATGTCGGCTCAGCTTTGTCAGGTAGGGTTCTTCCAATGCGTAATTCAGTGTACTTCATGATCTCTGCAGTCTATTTCCATGCAGTATGAGCGGGCAAACAGATTTACTGCTGTTTCGAGCGAGGTCAAGGCACTGAAACCTTGATATCTACACACGCACGATGTGACGCACGCTGGGACTAACAAAATACTAAGCACTATGGTCACGATCCCCTGAATCCGCCTCTTCCACCCCGGGGTGCAAAACCTCCACTGCTACCACGGCCGCTTCCTCCTCTGAAACCTCCTCTGAAACCGCCCCGATCGCCACCGAAGCCACCTCTTACTCCGCCCCGGCTAGCCCCTCGTCCTCCCCGTCCTCGTCCCCCAGGGGCACCCCCGTCCCCGTGGCCCACTGCCCCTTGCTATACCACGCCCGCGTTCTGAAGACGATTTACAGTGAATAGGAAGCATATATAAGAGAGGAGAAAGCATACTTGTTACACCTAGAGAAATAAGGCTCAGGTGTAGAAGTGGAAAGACCTATAGAATAGAGCATACCTGCAACTTTTGGTTTTGGGAGGAATCGCTCAATGGGTAGCAATTTATCACCTCCGATATATACTGTATCCCCTTTCTTGAAGCTGCTTGCAACCATACCTTCTCCCATTTTGACTGAGAAATAAACTTCATTGATAGGGCCAAGGATCTCGTCAACTTTGCCAATCACAGATTTGTTTTGGAGGTAAATGGGGGCGTTGAAGTAGGGTACTCTGTCTGATATGAGAGAGGAGCACAACATTTCATCCTCTACAGCATGCATGAATGTCCCCATTTCTGCAAACAGTGAAAACGGTGACGCGAAATTGTAAGGATAATAAATATCTTACCGACGACTGTAGCTGGAGGACCAAAATCACGCTGCTGGAATCCTCCACGTCCCCCACCGCGTCCTAAAAGATGAGGCAAATTGGACTTTCTATAAGAATCATACGCGTACCTCCTCTGCTAAAACCTCTTGCTCCTCGACTCATGGTGTTGAGAGAAATAAAAACGATGTGATTATGTAAGCGGCTAGCAATTCGTTTGCGTGGTAACTCCCTGCCAGACTGGTAGAAGCTTAGTTACTTGCAGTTGTATGGCATATGCACACATACGATTTCGCGTTTGTCACATCTAGCCTGTAGAACACTGGCCGGCGAAGGCAACATCTCTTGAATTCAATGAGCTTATTTTTTCGTCATTCGCTCAGCGTAGAAGGCGAGTTCACTCTCAAAGATCCTCCGAACTTGGCTGGTAACGATACCGTGCTCCTGAGCTCCCGATTGTGGACATATTTGTCTACACCGCACGATTCCTGCGTTCTCGTCCTAATATCTTCGGGCGACTCAACCGCACCCTTATTAGCATCCCAAGACTTGGAATGCTTGACTTGTTGGGCGAACGAGGATCCTGATGTGCGTCCATTAAATATGGACATGTTTTGTCCCACCTAATTATCGTCACAAGATCGAGTGCATTACAGTTCCACCTCACTGGCCAGACCTGTATCCTCATATTTTCGGATCATTCAATGGCCGACGGAAACTGCACGTGTCCCGTGCAGGAGACGTCTCGCTCTCCGAAGTGGTATTGACAGCCCAAACTCCCGACGCATACAGTTTTGCATTGTCCCACAGTTCTTCCCTTGAGGAATGGCTTTTCCACTCATCGCTGATCATTCGAACTGGTGAAGAATTACACCTTCCCCGAACGTTATTTCTCTCAAATGGCGACGCTTCTGAAGCGTTGCCCTCGGCGCTCTGCTCGTATCGCTACAAAATTGATGTTGCATATCCATACTCTCAAGGAATTGTGGAACACAATGTCACGCAGTTTGTGGTGGCCTGTTTCGACGAAGGAGCAGAAATTGGAGGACTATCGGCTGTTGGCATATACCCATCTGATGTTGAGATAGCTTCGGAGCCACTTGAGATCAGCGAATCTTTTCTCATTACTGCCGCACTTCCAGCAACCGCCCAACATAATGGTCCCTATGAGGGCGAGTGTGTGTCTGCCAGTTTGAATGTCCTGCTAACGTAACTGAATATTGCAGCCGCCGCAACGAACGCCTATTTCCGGCTTGAACCAATTTCGCGGGAGACTGCAGATGTCCTTAACCATGATGTCGCTCTGTACCTGCGAACCTCTGATTTTCGTCGGGTTGGCGTCCTCGATGGAGACTGGGTACGTTATTTGCCTTATTTTGCGCGAAACTAAACTTGCTGTGCTCAGGCTATCGTCAGTGATCTCGAGTCATCCCAGGCAAGGCTAGTGCGGGTGTTTGCGCATGATTACGAATCAGTCCCTTCGTACGGTTTTGATATGTGATCTTATTCCAATCTGAAGGGATTTTTAGTGGTGTTGTGAAAGCTTCGCCGTCGCTGATTTCCAGCATCCGTGTAGACTCCTCTAGTCTGGTATGGATTCGTCCGAGCCCTTTTGGCAATCGTCAACCGGCAATACCAGTGGCTCGTACTCTTACTCTCGCTCGCATCGCATCTCCGTTTTCCACTGGACGCAAGTTCGAGACTCTTTTTCTTCAAGAAATACAATCCTACTTCAGTTCCTGTAAACGCTTGGTCAAACCAGGAGATTTAATTAACGTGTTCATTGATACCGACAACGCAGAGCTTACCGATAAGCTCGACAATGGCAAGCTCCCAATCCATCGGTGAGCTTAGTTTGCACAAAATATCCAGAGCCTGCCTCATTTCAGCACCAGGCTGTCGAGCGGCAATGCAGTGGTGTCCTTCGTCGTGGACAAAGTCGACTACGACCCTATCAGTGCTGTTGATGAGTATTGCAGTCATCCCCAATTCGCTCGAGGCGACTACGGCTGTTTCGTGGACTCCCAGCGCACTCGGATCGTGCAGCTCGGAACAAAACATCATAAAGGCTTACTAGACATACGTAGCTGCAATGCCCTTCGTGAGGACTTTAGCTTTCGCAGCGTTGAGTGACGTGTCGTTAACAAGCGAGTAGCAAACGCTAGTACCAGACCAGAGGAACTACCTTTCACAATGGATGCAATGACTCGTTTGTCGGACGCGCCTCGGTTTAAAGGAGCTGCGGAGTTTGGCATCTGGCCACTTCTGCTTATTTCAGGAGCTCGAGGATCCGGGAAATTTACAATGGCCTCTTTTATAGCCCGACGCCTTGGAATCCACATTGCAGAAGTACGATCAACTACTGAACTTGTCCTTCACGAAATTTATTCATCTCATCGATAGATCAACTGTTTTGCGATAATTTCGGAAAATGAGGCCAATACAGAAGGCAGCTTGAGAGCTCGAATTGAAATGGCAAGTTCATGCGCGCCGTGCGCAATCGTGATTCGGCATCTAGACGCGTTGTCCCAGTCTACTCCAGCTTCGGAACCGGGAAAAGGTGTGCAAACATCTTCCTTAGTGCGATATCATCATCTTAACCAATACCCTAGGTACTACATTGTCACATGCGCTGAGCGATTGCCTGGCGGACTTAGAATCCCATATGCAATCCACGGGCAGCCAGATCTTTGTTATCGCAACTGCGAGTGACACATCCAAGGTCCCTGCTATCCTCCTCTCGCGCTTTACAAACGAGTTTGTGCTAAAGGTGGGGTCGCTATTGATTGCTCACACAAACGCTCTGAATAACATTCGTTGTACCTATTACAGGCTCCGACTGAGGCAGAACGATCGAGCATAATATATCATTGCATGATTGATGTTAAACCGGCTTCTGATGTTTCAGTGGCTTCTTTTGCTACGCAGACTGCTGCACTAGTTGCTATTGATATAGTCGACTTTTTGACACAAGCGGAGGTTATTGCTGCTAGAGAGTCACTGTGCGGTCAGAGTTTTTTGAGTTAATAACCTCGCTGACCACGATGTTTGCAGTGACGAAATTACTTGTCGAGCACGGTCCCTAAGTACGATAGCTATTCGAGCAAATCAGGTGGAATTGTCGCTTTTGAAGGCGAGGACAACTTTCGCTCAAAACATTGGGGCTCCGAAGATCCCTGCCGTCATGTGGGAGGACATCGGTGGACTGTCGAGAGTAAAGAATGAAATATTGGACACCATCCAACTTCCATTGGAGCACCCTGAATTATTCATCGAGGGATTGAAGAAGCGTTCAGGTACACCCATTCTCTAGCTTAGTTACCCTGCTGCTGAATGTGCCACACCCAGGAATCTTATTATACGGTCCCCCGGGCACAGGAAAAACGCTGCTCGCGAAGGCAGTGGCAACTTCGTGTTCATTGAACTTCTTTTCAGTGAAAGGACCCGAACTTCTGAACATGTACATCGGAGAGTCTGAAGCAAACGTTCGACGAATATTTCAACGTGCTCGTGATGCAAAACCATGCGTCATTTTCTTCGATGAGCTCGACTCTGTGGCGCCAAAGCGAGGTAATCAAGGGGACTCAGGTGGTGTTATGGATCGTATCGTAAGTCAGCTTCTTGCAGAACTGGATGGGATGTCCGCTGGAAGTGGGGGCGACGTCTTCGTCATCGGAGCTACCAATCGCCCTGACCTATTAGACCCGGCTCTTTTGCGACCTGGAAGGTTTGAGGTAACATTCTTTTGCATAATCAGCCTTACATTTCTTGCTCAGGTTTGACCGAATGTTATATCTTGGGGTTAGCGAGACACACGAAGCTCAGCTTGATATCCTTCGTGCGCTTACAAGAAAATTCAAGCTCGATCGTGATCTCAGCCTCGCGGACATTGCTGAAGAGTGCCCGTTCCACTACACAGGAGCCGACTTCTATGCTTTATGCTCTGATGCAATGTTAAATGCATTAAACAGGAAGGTTACTGAGCTGGATAACAAAATAGGTCTGTTGAAACACACAATGTGTGATGCATTCTGACGACACACCGAACAGCACAACTCAACAAACAGTCAGAATTTCGACAACACCAACTGACACCTCAGTACTATCTCACTGAAATTGCCAGATCGGATGACTTGCACATTTTGGTTACCCAGATGGACTTCATTCGTGCTCTAAATGAGCTAGTCCCTAGTGTTAGTGCAGTAGAGATGCAGCACTATGCTACTATTCAGAAGAGATTCATGCAGGAGATAGTGGAAGATATGTAACTGATGGTGGTGTCTGGATACCTTACATGACCTATTGGGAGGGTGTTTGAGGAGGTAATAAAATACACGAAGTCCTTCAGGATTCGCATTGTCTTGGATGTTGAGACTTGACAAATGACCTGATTTTTGCACATCAGGAAAAAGCACAGTACCTACGCGAGCCTATGTAGCCTATGTAGGCTGGTTAGGCCATTAGGTAAGTCCTGCCTATATAGGCAGGCCCTGTATACAGTAGGTTCCTTGTAGGCACCATAGGCTTAGATGTAGTCTTAGGTTAGGTACTGTATACAGCCCTCAAATTTATTTGTGGCCCTGTCCAATACTGCATTTGGCACTCGTCTTGATTACCATGGTACTATAGTACTATCAACAGACCTTGCTACTACCAGCACCTGCTGCCGGCATCTACTACATCCCATCTGAATCCTCTGATTCTGACTCTTCTGATTCTGACTCCTCTCAGTATTCCCATTCTGCTGCCGCTGCAGCAAATTTGTCCATTGTGAATTGTTCAGTGAATCCTGTGGCAATGGGATCGTTTGGAATGCTAGCATGATGACTGGTGGGTGATTGTGAGACTCCACAACCTTGGATGATGTTGTCAACAAGTACTTACCACACAGACTTCAAGAGCTTCTTGCAAATTTTTGAGACAATCTCTGCTTGCTTGGTGCCCTTGTAAAACCGGACCAATAGGTCATAGTAAGACTGAAAACGGCTGCATATTGTTCCTTGTTGAACATCATGTCCACCCACCCTTGTTCCAGTGGTCCACTCCATGAGTAGTGTTTTAAAGTCCAGTTGCAGGACCACAAAAAGACCGGCAACCGGACCGGACCGCAACCGGTCCTAAGCAGGACTGGTTGCAGTCTTTTCCAGTTGCAAGATCAGTCCAGTCCAGTTGCCCAAAGTTTGTAAAAAATCAAAGGACCGGTACAGAACTGGTTAAGACTGGTCTTTTGGAGAACCGGTTGCTATGTACGTGTAGTACTCATCAGCGCGATTCTAATGGTGGTCCAATCATGCAAACGGTTAAGATTTGATAAAGTTATGAGACTTTACAAGAAAAAGCTGCAAATTAATGGGATGTCTTATATCTTAGCTTTTATTTAGATCAAATCATAATCAATTGACAAGGCAAGACCAGCTATATACTCATCTATACTAGGGCTACAGTTAGCATCAAGACACCTAAGCCTTATAACAACTTTTATTTTTTGACATTTCATATTTGACTCACTCGTGGGGCGGAGTTTGGTAAAAGTTTTAAAATGCTCATATCTTGTTCAAATCTTAACCGTTTTATACAACTAAAGCACCGTTGGAATTGCAGGAGTGAGTAGTACACTGCCATCGGACGGTTTTAGTTGTAACTTTTCTAAAATTGGTTATAGGACCGCAAAAGATCAAAAATATCGGTCTTTATCAGTCCAGTCTGGTTTTTTTGATATCATGGGAATAAAAAGACCGGTCTGGTCCGGTTGCCTCCCATATATGGTAAAAAGACCGGACCAGACCGGACTTTGAATCACTATCCATGAGACATGCTTCTGCCTGTCAGTGAAGCAGTCAGTTCATCCCTTGTGAGTCACAAACATCAACTGCAGTTACTTACTGCAGTCAACAGCACGACAATGATCCCGAATGTCACCCCACCTGTCTCTCCATCCTTGAAATAGCTTGGATATTTAACCCCCATTGATACTTTCTTGATCAACTTGGCTTCGAAGGCACCTTTACACTGCTGACAGTCCTGTCACTGGCCATAAGTATCTCTCTTGGCAACTGGAACAAGCTTACCTTATAAGTCAAGTTCTTATGATTCACCAGCACAGCTGCCGCTAGCACAGCATTCAACTTGATAGCTGCTGGTATCTTCTCATCAATGAAGCCAAACTTGGCTGCCATGAGTGGGCACATAAGAGTTTTGAGTTCACTCCATAGATTTGAGCCACACAACTTTATCTGTTGGAAGTCCTTAAAAGAAAGCACCAGATCATGATTGCAACATGACTTGGACATACCAGTTTGTATGCATCCTCATCATACTCAACTCTCACTCCATTTGCACGACAGGCTACATTCCATGCCTCACCGGACCAGGTATGACTTTCAGCCTCACTTGGATAGATCAAATGATTAGCCAAAATAGACTGATAGTGGCTTACAGCTAGTTGAATGACAGCTGAGTAAAGGCCACCAAAGTCGCTGCATGAAACACGACCTTGGCTACCACCTTCCCTGATCTTCACCTTCTGGACCACCTGCAGTGTTTCTGTTGTTGCAAGAGCAGGTGCTGGATGTTTGAGACTCAGTAGGTTCTGATCAGATCCACATGGGAAGGGTGATGGCAAACTGAACTAATCCGGAGCAGCCACAATCTCTTGGCTTGAGATATCCGAGATGCTGTTGTATTGTGTACCTTGTGGTGGATCTGCAGGACCACCACTCAGAGGAGCTGGCATTCCCTGTGAAACTTGTTCAAGTCAGCAGTGTATACTATGGCGCAAGTTGATATTGTATACTTACATGTCCCACAGGCAATCTCAGAACAGGATTGACCATAAGCTCAGGCACTAGACTTGGATCCTGGTTGAGGAAGCACAAGCCTTGAACAGGTGCCATGGGTGGAGGAATATGATGCATGCGTGGAGTTAGCCTAGGAGGGACCCATTGATTTTCTTGCTCCTTGCGTTGTGTGGGTGTTTTGACTGCTCAAGGGACACTTGCTTTCCCCTTCGGCTTGCTGTTGAGAGTGACTGAGCTAAAAGTGAACTGTCATAGTATAAGGTACATAAATCAGCAATCAGGAATAAAAATCAAAGTGAAAGTTACCGTTGATTGCTCGTCATCGATGTCGTTGATGCTGTTGTTATCATCGTTGGACTCAGGCCTGAAGCTGTTGAAATTGTTGATCTCCTCAAGGACTTGCCAATTGCAGAGTGCCAGGGTAGCATATTTTAATGTCTTCTTTGATTCTTTGTTGAGAGCTTCGTTATCTGAAGGAGGTGTGAATTTGAGTGACTAACAATAAATTTAACATTACCAAGCGCTTGTTGTTTTGCAGAAGTGCATTGAACCTGAGGTTCTTGGGATTGATCCTGCTGAGTTGTCTCCATGGGCGCACCAGCACCATTGAGAGCCTGGAGCTCTGCTCCTTTACTTGGGTTTTTTTTCATGCCATCTGAGGGTGATTCTGAGTCAATTTGAAGCAAGTGCGAGATAAGGTGAAAATTTACCAAGTTTCAGCCACAACATATGGGTGGGCCCAGGTCATCCAAATTGCGACACCTCCAATGTCATTTCAAATCAGTATTCACAAATTGACGATAGAGTACTTGCCTGCACTGTCATGCCTACCTGCAAGGACTGCAGCCACTTTCTCCCTACACCATCTGGCCTTAACAAACATTGTGAACTTGAAGGCATGTCAGCAAAAGTGGCAAGACCGCCTGAAAAACCTCAGTATTAATGTTTTTGACCTTGTTGAAGGATATTCTGCTGAGTCCACTGCTACTTTGCCAGACAAGGACTCAGAAGACTTGGACACTAACAAGGAGGAGGCTGACTTGGATCAAAATTTCAGAGATAACACATACTTTGACACACCACCACACTCCCCCCTTCACTCCCCCCCTATCAGTGTCACAGGTGAAGAGAACCCTGTGCTTGTGCAGAAAATTGTCAGGTGCATGTAGAGGAAGTACCTAACTCAAATGATGCCACACCTGTAAGAACCTAAGTGGCTCTTGCTGTGAGTTCAAAGGGGTGTGGAGACTGCTAGTGTGATGCTGAAACGCTATAGAACTAGATTAGGGTTTAATGAATGTTATGCAATAATGATCGAGACGAGTGCGAGACAATAAACAATGGATATAGCGATACAATTTAGATAAACGAGTGCGAGACTGAGACTGGGAGACTGGTATGATTGCCTGCAGTAGTGAGTGTACATGGGCTACTTTTATACTGTGAGATGTTTAAGGGTCGGGTATAACTATGCTGAATTGATTATGTGATGACGGACGCTGAAGGGAGTGGTGTCCATGCCTGACAGGGTAGAGTAGACAGAAGGGAAAGAGAGTACGAAAGGATTGAGTGAGTAGTAATATAAATGGGTATGGTTTTGACAGAATAACAAGAGTTGCATATTGTTTTGACAGATTTGGGAATGGTGAACTGAGAATGAGGTGAGAGTGACAAGAACGGGGAGCTGAGGGTCGATAATGACGAGGAATTGACGCTGAAAGGAAGTTGAGGTCTGTGCTGACTAGGTTTGGCGCTGAGCTGGATGGTGGTTGTGGTAAGTGTGAATGCGGCACTTTCCGGCATCAAACAATTGGTAATCCTTACACACCTGTCGGTGATGAGACCTGATGGATTGATTCATATCCTGTTGACATGTTAGCTGGGGCTCATGTGGGTGATCCTGCAGAAATTGTACCCACCAAGTTTGACAATATTCAGCACCAGCTGGAGACCAATGACCTGAGTGACTCGGGGGTGTGGGGGCCATTCAAAGATGAAGAGGAGTGGCAATTAGCCAAATGGTTAATACAGAATGTTGGGCAGAACCAGACAGACAGGTTTCTCAAGCTACCAATTGTAAGTTTGGTCATCTTTCAAGTTTTGGTGCATGTATGAGACTCACATCATTCAAATTCAAAGACGTGCAGATCTTACCTACAACAATAACTGGTTGTTCTTGAAAAAAATTAATGCACTGCCAATGACGGGGCCAGAGTGGCAATTCAACATCATAAAGGTTGCAGGTGACCAAGTTGATGCAAATAGAGATATGAAGTCAGCTGAGTTAGAGCTGTGGTGTTGGGATCCTGTGGACTGTGTTTGCGAGCTTATCAGCAATCCAACATTTAAAGATATGATGGCATATGCACCGGAACATGCCTATGAGGATAAAGAAGGAAAATGTTGCATATATGACAAAATGTGGACATATGACTGGTGGTGGGATACACAGGTAAGATAACATTCAATCAAACATGTTTGGACACTCACTTTGATTAGGGAAAGCTCCCAAAGGGTGCGACAATTGCCCCACTCATACTTGCCTCAGACAAAACTAGTCTGTCACAATTCTGTGGTGACAAATCTGCATGGCCCATGTATTTGACTATTGGGAACATCAAAAAGGCCTCCCGCAGGCAACCACAAATGCACACTGCCATCCTCATAGGGTATATTCCTGTAGCCAAGCTTGACTGTTTCAGCAGGGCTACACGCTCCATTGCTGGCTATCGACTGTTCCATGAATGCATGTGCCAGGTTCTTCAGCCTCTTGTTGTGGCTGGTCATAAAGGTGTCGATATGGTGTGTGCAGATGGATGGCTGTGATGAGTGCACCCGATCCTTGCCGCCTATGTGGCAGATCACCCTGAACAATGTCTGATTGCCTGCACAAAGGAAAGCTTTTGTCCTAAGTGTCGCGTTGTCTTAATAACCAAGGGTCTTATATAAATACGTGTAAGAATGTAATGACACCACAATTACACTGGATAAGACTTCTTGCCAGTCCTCGATTAACACGGTCTATGACTTTTCTTCTTTCGTGGTAGATAACAGTGTGAGTTCTTGGGAGGCTCGCTAAACCAATCAGTCAGATTAACTTAGCCGGAGCTTTATTATCTCTGATTGAAACTATGGGATTGTCTAGGATATACCGTCTAGACACTTGAACTGGTTTCCTGAATATACAGGTTAACTGTTGAGAAGCTGGTCTCAAATGTGACTACGTGGACCAAAGCTCGTGTTGGTCAATATACAAATACCTGGTGAGAACGCTGATCTCACAAATAACAACAATGACAAATAAAAAACAATGACAAATAACAACAATGACAAATAACAACAATGACCAAAGCTCGTGTTGGTCAGTATACAAATACCTGGTGAGAACGCTGGTCTCACAAATAACAACATTGACCAAAGCTCGTGTTGGTCAGTAAACACTACATGGTGAGAACACTGGTCTCACAAAATTGGGTTTCTATTGCGAGAAACTTATGTAATCTCAAGGGAAACACTTTCCCTGCACTTGCCTGGACAGTTCTTACAAAGGAAATGGGCTTTGTAAGCAGCAATTTGTTCAGACTGAAGCTTCTTAGGTGAGAGTTCAATTTGCTCAAGTGGGAGTTCTTGAATGCAACAAGTGAGAGATCTATTTTTTTGGGGGGGAGAATGGGCTCTCCTTATATACATTTTGTGTGGGAATATTATGTAAGTAAAAAGGTGATGTAATGACTTCAGAATGTGAGAAGAATATTCCAAAAACTGGAGCAGAATGTTCTAGCAGGTGCAAAAGAACATTCCAGAATATTCATGGTGGGATAATGACATCATTCTGAGTCACTATGAGTCACTATGAGTCATTATGAGTCATTGGAATGTTCTAGCAAATTCCATGGAACATGACATCATTATGACATCACTATGATATCATATCTTTCAACCAAAATACCTGCAGGAGTGTAGGTGAAGTCCTATGACATCATTATGACATCATACCCTGTAGGTACAATTTTATGAAGCATCTGATTAGTCAGAGCATCCTAATAGAAAAGTAAAGTAAAGAAACACTAGAGAAAACAACTCAAAAATAATGGAACAAATAATAGTACACAATACACGGGCTTTTTTTGATAGGTTTTTGTTAGGCTTTGAACTTTTCTCTATGGGTTTCTCTAGCCAAAGTGAATAAGCCAAAGGAAAGGCAATACCTTAACCTTCATTTTGCTTCTCATATCAACTAGGTCATTATGTGATTCCCATCTCACATATGACTTTTCTTCAAAACATGGTGGATTCATGAATCACTGAGGGAAAACTGAAACTATTGGACCAAGGTTTGATACCAAGGTATGGGTTGACTAGTCTGAGGACTAAGCCTAACAGACTTTGTCTTTTAGGGGGAACCTAGTAGTCATGTCCATGTATGATTCCCAAATCATGCAGGACAGCGTCCACTATGACAGTCATGGTGAACCTCTATCATCACTTCTGCAGGACCCAGAACAAAATATTATCATGTTAAAGCAAAAACAAACAGAGCATCAGGTAGCTGCCTGCACTTGCGAGGGTCTGTGTCCTGTGTATCACCCCCTTCTGGGCCGATCTTCCTTTTTCTGACATCTTCGCATCCGTAACACCCAATATCTTGCACCAATTACACAAGGGTGTATTCCACAACCACCTATTGAAATGGTGTACTGAGATTGCAGGAGAGAAAGAAATTGATGAATGTTACCAGACAATGACCAATTACCCTGGCCTTCAGTATTTCTTGCAGGGAATTCACTTGTATCTCAATGGACAGGTACTGAACACCATGAAATGCAGCACGTCTTCATGGGAGTGTTGATGGGTGCTGTCCAACCAAAGGTAGCTCAAGCTGCCCATGCTGTTCTCGATTTTATCTACTATGTGCAGTTCCATTCCTGTTATGAATGATGCGAGTTTGCAACTGGAACTTGGATGGGGGCTCTTGCTAAGCCTGCTGAGACCAGCGAGCATTTGATAGCAAGAGATCACAGCAATGATACTGTCTGTCTGACAGCAAGGTTATCGATGATTAGGATGGCGTGTCTCTAATTGTGTTCCTCAGCTAGCAAGACTATTGGGCAATGAGCTCAATAGAGATTAAGATGAGAAAGCGAAGCTCGCTTAAGGCTTCTAGCAGATAGGCAGGTAGAACCAAGTAGATTCAAGTTAGAGAGTACAAGCGATACCCTACTGGTATATATAGGTAGGAGGTGGTTGAGGGCAGGACTGCCAAATTAGTGGTAAGGGTAAAGGGGAACGAGTCAGAGCGAGTCATATGTAAGATAACACCGGTTAGACGGTAAGGGCAAAGGGGAAAGTGAGTCAGAGATAAGTACCGGTCAGGCGGCAAGGGCATAGGATTATGAGTCAGAGGAACGAAGCAATGGTAACAGTAAAATGTGCACAGCGATCTGGAAGAGCTGTGCATTCAAAGTGAAATGACGTAGTAAGTACAAAGTCAGACAAAGAGAAAGAGAAAATGAATAGGGGCCTAACATGACCTGATGTTTTGTAACAATTCCCACACTTTACAGTCCCTAGATGCGCTGCAGTCTGCCCTAGATGAATTTCACCAGGATAATCAGATTTTTATAGACCCGGGGGTATGTGAAGACTTCAACATACTGAAATTACACTCAATGGAACACTACATTGGATCTATCAAGTCCTGTGGTTCAGCTGATGGCTTCAATACCGAGTTTCCTGAGCATTTGCACATAGACTTTGCAAAGGGCACTTATAATGTGACAAACCGGAAGGACTATGTGGCACAAATGACAAGGTGGTTAGCATGTCAAGAAGCAGTTGATCAATTTGAGGCCTACCTCAACTGGAGGTTGCAGAGAGTCTTGGAGGAAGAGAAAGATGAGGCTCAATCTGATGGAGGTGATGCGGAGGTAGAAGCAGTGGATGAACAACACCTGCCTAATCAAGAAGTTGTGCCACTCTCTTGCATCCTTGCAGCATGACCACCTGTCATATACCATATATCCGGTTACAGATCCGATGATCTGGATCTCAGATCCGATCCAGATCCGATGAACATATCCATCGTCCGGTCCACAGATCCGCCTTGATTCTTATTTCATTTCCTGTTCATATAACTCTAACTATCGTTCATCTCCTTTCGGTATTCCTGTACACCGGTATACCGGTTATCCTTTACTTCCGCTATGCTTACTGATCCGCTATGCTTACTGATCCGCTACACTTACGAATCCGCTTTTACTTGTACTTCATTCCCGGTTCATGATTCGTGATCCATCCAACTTACCAATACGCTCCACTTAGACTTTGCTTATACTTTCGTACATAGCCTCGCACCTTTGCTTATTGATCATTCCGTTAGCTATCCGTAGTATATAAACCTTTGTATATGCGCTGTAGTAGATCAGTTCGAATATCATCTTAGATTGCACTCATTCCGTCTGGACTCTGAGTCCCTCCGTTATCCATCCGGACTTGAGTACGCTACTCTTGTCTACTCCGAGACTTAGGATAGATTCCTATAGTCTACATATCCGCCTCTGTCTTCGGACAGTCCTCACCCGTTAGTTTCTAGTCCGGATCCGATCCGGATTGGCCGTTACTCTATACGTTCGATATCCGGAAGTCTTAACGGATCCATTGCAATACTTATCTGTTTCACTAGACGCGATACTTTAGCTCTCTGAAATAAGGGGCAAGACTCGGGAAAGGGGCACAGCGCACGAGCTGAGGCCGAAGCCCTTCGGATCCGATACTACTTGAGTACGGTCTTAACAACCTTGTTCATCGCACTGAGTTATATAGACTTATGATTTGGTACTACACACCTACCTGAAGACCACTAGGCTCTCTGTTTTGTTCGCCATCTAGAACATTATGGGTAATCAACTATGGCAAGTGTTGTAGAGCACTTGTGTTAAGCATTAATGTTTGATGTCTAGCAGAGTAGTAAATAACCAAAAAGCTTGATAACAGATGGGGTCTTTGGGCAGAAGGTCAAACATTAGCATTTAATGATCTAGAAGTATAGGAGGTGAAAAGAAAGTGTCGACATTTATTTTGATATTAAGAAGCAGAAGTGCATAGAGCACCTGGCCAACAACGCAAGGAGACAGTGGAGAGAAGTAATACTGAAGTGACCAAACATTGGTGTTCAATAGTCGTGAAGTATACTAGAGAACAAACAAACATTTGACATTTATCTAGAGGATATGGTCTCCAGAGGGCAGGCCTGGAAGTTTGACCTCCAAGTGATACATCAAATATTGACATTTGATGGGTCAGGAGTACAGCAGATATACTGAATTAATATTGGTTTCAAAAATATGAAACCAAGGTCTGCAGATTGCAGGCCCAGCAGTATAGCATAAGCATTGACAAAATGAATGCCTCATTGGACATTGGCATGCAACAACCCTTGAGTATAGTAGAGAGTAAACATTCAACATTGATTTTGAGGGTACAATACAAAGGTCATTAGAGTGCAGACACAGGAGTAACAATAGGAAAGGAGTATCCAACCAGTTGTTCTTGAATGAAGTGGTCAAGCATTAACATTTGACAGCCTTGAAGCATAGTGTAGTAGTGAGGGTAACATGTGACATTTGTTTTGAGAATATAAAATAAAGGTCTTTATAATGCAGCAGGCCCAGGAGCATGGTAAAAAATACCAATGCAAACCAAGTGTCTGGTCAAATATTGGCATTCAATGACCCAGGAGTGTATAAGATATAAATCATGGATAGTAGATTCAAGAATATAAAAAAAGTCTTTGGACTTCAACATCATCAATGGCCAATGCTAATTTTCAATGTTAATATTCAAGAAATAAAGAAAGTACATAGCATTTTCTAATACAGGCATTACAACAACTTACATAATATGACTTCATTGGTTACTGCTGGAGTCATTGAAGTCACTGGACTCTGAGTCTGAAGTCATTGTTTGCATACCAAATAAGGTCATCAAATCACCTATTATTGAGTCAAGGTTGCAAAACACCTCATAGTACATATTACAACATATTCTCAACCTTCTACTCTCATCTTCCAGCTTCCTATTGCTATTCAACTCATATTTTCTTGGACTGTGCTGGTCACTATAGTAACTCCATCTTCTAGTGGGGATGTCTCAATGGGCAGGTGTTAGTAATTGGCCCAGTTGTTAATTGCACTAAGCGTGTAATGCTCACACTGCTTGACCAGCATGATGCTTTCATGAGCTCCCCTCACTACAATTTAAGAGATTTCTAGCTTGCTCAAAGGTATTGTACAAAGGCTAGCACTTGCTCTGAATGACAGAATGGGGGTCCTAGCTGTTAATGAGATAGCAGTTGATTTGTAAGTGTCAATTATGCATATGCTTTTAGATCCACTCATATCTATCAGGAGCATAACATACTTCTACCAGTTGATCACTGGGTGTAGGCAGATAGTGCTTATCCACCAAGCACTTGGTGTATTATCCCTTTTAAGAAGGCCTGCAATAGACACCTGACAGCAAACCAGAGGACATTTAATTTTAATCTTTCTTCAGTTTATACAATTATTTCCTGATTTTTCTAAATTTACAATTTATCTAGGTCTATGTCCATGTTGAATATGTGTTTGCTGCATTGAAAGGGTGATTTTAATCTCTTTAAGATCTCTGATAGAAATCAATTCAGCTGATGACTTGTGGGCAGCTGTCCATTGGATCAGTGTTGTCTCATTCTTCATAACATGATCATACGGTTTGAAGAAAATTGAGGTTGCAAAGAAACCATTGGTTCAGTTAAATAGGCCCATCAAGTAGATTATATGAGGGGACTCAGGGTCATGCACAGTATGAGAGGTTAGTGTATATCTTATTTGACAGTCTCCACTCAAAGGCACACTGTAGTGAAGATTGGGAGTAGCCACAAATTCCATGACAAAGCAAATATATAAGAACATCAGTGTATATTAAAGGTAACACAAGAGAATAAGTGATATGCACGTACAAAAAGCTTGAAAGTAGCATAAAGCAAGGACAAATAATTAGCATTGAAAACTCAAAACCCAGAACCAGAACTAGTAAGGGGAGGCATATTCATCTTGAGGTGTACATGCCACCTCCTCTGCATATGCATATGTTAGTGCATTATGCATTTTAATCTCTGCTTTGTAAAGGCATATTTTAGAATCTCTCATCCCAGAGAAATTAATATGCAACAGCTGCTTTGGTTTGCTCATCTGTGCACTCAGTTTTCAGGAATTTATATTCATTGACTTGATGAGTGAGATTGTATTTAGCCATGTAGTGCTCATTTCAAAGTTCTTCTGGAGTAATTCTATCCAATTGTGTGCTCTTAATTTCTTCATTGAGGTAGTTGACCTGACCTTAGACATCCAACTGCCGCTTCTTCATATGCCTCAGTTTCCCTCCAGATAAAAAATTAGCAGGGGACATCAAAGGGAGGCTATGGTAACATTGGAGTCATTACAGTAATCACACTTGAGGGGGAGTAGGTTATGGAACATCATCAAGGAGAAGTCTATAGTCATCATCAGGAAGGCACATGTCAGTGTCATTGGTAGGTGAATTGGAAGTGTCCTGAGAGAGAAACATGCTAAAATGGGGGTGCTGGATATACTAAGGGTACTCAGTACCAGTGAGATAGTTGGGCTGGGTTTGTAAGGGGATGGTACTGAGGGTAACAAGCAAACCTCAGTCATAAGTGAAATGACTGTAATTGAATATTATACCTAACAAAGTGAAGTGAACTATTATCTGTTAGTATGATTAAATAGAAAACAAGTTCTGTACTCACTCTTAGTCATAAGTGGAATGACTGAGGGAAAAATAGGAACAAAAAATGCTAAGTGTTCTGTGGTATAAACATATACAGATACTGCTGATACTTGTGATTTTATTGAATGTCAATATCCACTCAAATGAGGCAGTAGGCCGAGGGCTTTTGTGAACTTTAGATGTTTTTCTCTAGCAGTGCTTTTTCATTATGTCTGCAACCATTTACTC